ATTTCATAAACAGATAAAATAATATAGAGGAGTTTAGATGTTTTTATTGTATAAGACGTCAAATAATTGTGTTATAAAGAGCTTGCTATATACTGGGTGGCGTAAAAGTACTGGCACTAAAGAAAATTTGTTTATTTTTTTTATATGACATTTCCTGTCATTCTGTTGTTGAAAATTGTGTAGTGAACAAATGTAAAATATACTGAAAATAAACATGGACCCTTTTGCTCCCCAAGAACGTGGAAAAATCGTGTCAATGTTCTTACGGAATAATTCATCAGTGATAAAAACACAACGTGAATTTCGTCGACGATTTCCCCACCGTCCGGCACCGGATTATCAGTGCCCCAGAACCGAGTATTCTGCTTATTGACATGCCCTGAGAGATGGAAATGCGCTTCGTCACTCATAACCATCATCGACAATTATTCCGTAAGAACATTGTCATATAAAAAAAATAAACAAATTTTCTTTAGTGCCAGTACTTTTGCGCCACCCAGTATTTTTGTTAGTGACTCACTCCTAATCATATATCCAGATTTTTAAATATCTACCTTGTACTATATTTAAACTTTATAGTTTAAACCTTTATAATTCTCAGCTTATCTCGACTGTAATATCCGTACCATTCTCTCGAATCACATCTATTAGTAGAAGACATATTTAAATCTATAGAGACGTTTAGTTTAGTTGGGACGAAGTTGATTTCGACTGAAATCAAATTCGTTAAATGAGTCCATTGTCGTCCGGATATGATTTTTGCGGCTATCACTTGAAAAGGACTTGTCTTAAAATATTGTTTATAATAATATCCACAGATCTAAGACTAGATATTTTATTTTATGATCCAAAGTAATAGTTATTAATTCCAAGAGATTGAATATTGCCCGCAAAAGGACCAGCTTAGCGGTAATTAATTGTATCTAGGCTCTTTACCTAGAATAAAAGAAAGAAAGCAGTACAATATTAATTGACATTATGGACAACCTTATAAATATGTATTTTCTATAAACATTAACATTATGATCTCTTTATATTTTAATACCTAAAAAGATTACAAAGTGGTAATTTTGTGTTCTTTATTAATCCCCAAAAAAATTAACCTTTATTCGAGTGAAATAGACGTTGTTATAATTATAGAAAGCCCAGGATACCGATTATATAAATTTTACGATGAGTAGGTACCATCAGATGGAAATTATTATTATTTTAATACATGTGTCTAACATGACGGAAAATTACGATCTAGCCTAACTTAAGACTAATAAGTAATTTAAGTCTAGCTTAATTTACTCATTCCGCCGCATGGCCTTAACAGCCCGAGCTAGGCTGTAAAAGCCCTTAAGGTCAACAGCGAGATTCCATTAAAAAAAACTAATATACTAAAGGGATATTTAACATAAGAAAGTGTTTATAACACTATTTACGGCCTGTAATAAATTAAAGACACTCTGTTCTTGTGTTCTATTTTTTAAGACTGGCCCGTGGTGTGAAGGACTTGAATAGCCTCGACATTCATGTGATGGTGGAGCCTATGTTCGTGGGCTTAATTAAATAAAAACAGTTTTCTTTATTCTTTATGACCAGAGATACAACACTAATTCACTAGTAGACACAACATATAATATAGGAACTATATATAAGATGTTTCCCAAGGAACATTAGAATGTCAAGATAAACACATAATCGAATTATTATTATATTATACAAGCTATCACGTGTAAGAACAATACAATGTTTGGCATTTACTAACATCAGAAAATTTTAAATAAAATTCATAATTATGAATTCATAATATTCGTCCATTAGTCCACTGTTCAGGGCATCTTGACAGTGCAAGGAACAGCCCAAGGTGGTAAAGATTATTTTTCACTCGACTCTAAGTGCGACTAAGTAACCCATGCAACCTTCAAAAGGGCAAATTTTCATCACATGTGCAGAACGCACGAGGCAAGCATCTCTGCATTTATTTAACTGATCAGTGAACAGACACAATTTAACTCTGTTTTCATGAACCCGTAGGTTAAATCATGACATGAACTGATAGTTTGACCAAATGAGGTGGCAGTCTCGAAAATATTGATTAAAATTTCGCGGTTTCGGTATAACAAATAATTTCTGCTCTGATAGTATCCAGGTCGGATGTGGTTTCATTAATAAATGTGCATTTATTTAAAAAAGGAAACTAAACTTTGCTTGTTACCGGGTATTATATAAAAATACCTTTAGTATCTAACATATAAACACCACATACTTAATAGAAATATAAATAAATTTGGGTAAACACAATTCTTTTAATAAAACTTTAAACTTTTAAAAGCATGTATATCCCGCTTTATAACATTATTTATACAACTACTGCACATACGTCGCGTATGGAACTGTTTAAATTTATGCTCGATCACGAAACTAAAAATGCATTCTAAGCCTTAAAATCCAACATTTAGTAATGATATGTTTAAATCACTGAAGCTTAGTTCAAAGCTTACATACGCTTGTCAACATAATGGATCTAATAATAGAAAATTATGTGTGATAAAAGAAAAAGAAACCTGCTTCGGGATTACAATACGTGTTATTTTTTTTGTACACGTTGTTTGTGAATAAGTGCTTTGAAATAACGAAACATTGACATTGATATTTTTTATAATGTATTATCCTCTTATCGCTATTATATTTAACAGGCTCATGAAAATAAATAAATACTATTTGATAGGCCTTAATGAAGCTTAATTCTATAAACCGATTAATAATGAAATAACGAATCTACTAACAAATAAGCCATTCATTAAATGTTTAATACTGCTTAATAATATTCGGAAGATGGAAACTTGGCTTCAAAATGAGAATTTCAAGAGAATACTTAGTGTTGCTAATTATACCACTGCACCAAAACTTATGAAGTAACATATTTCAATATAATTTAGCAAAGAAATATTTAAAAATATGAAGACAAATTATTTGGACATACATATTCCATGTCATTATTTATTTACAAGAAAAGTGTACTTTTACTAATTATATAAAACTTTTACTAATTTAAACTGGCAAATTAGATTTGAAAATAATGCCATTTAATATTGTACCATTATTGACTTGTTTGAATTGGGAAATTAATATTGTGTTAAATAATTTTTGGATCTATCTATTGTTTCTTTAAATTTCTAAAATTTCTCTTTACAAAATTATGCATCTAAATCAATCGGCGCTAGCTAGTGCTTTGTAACTTGCCAAAGCCATCTTGGATGAGTTTTCTTCCCTGTGATCTTCAGGAATCGGTTTCGCCTTTGCAAATTGAATTCAAAGAATACTGGCGCTGGAACTAATAGATCTTACAATTGAAAGTAACAACTGTATATTATAATATTTATTTTATGTTGAAAATGTGATACTTTAATAGGTATATTAACTACTTCCAAGATTGATAAAGCTGTTTTGGAAACTAATTAGAATCTATCAGTTAAAATAACAGCATTATTTAATTAATTAATGAAAGGGAAATAGTTTAAATACAATCAAAATTATGTTTTTGGTGGGTCTTTGGACGCGATATATCTGCAAATTTGTGTTTATTTTTTAATTTTTATAATATACTCATGTGTTAGGTGAATTCCTAATCTGCCTAATAAGTGACGATCATTCGTTAAAATTACAAAGACTGGATAATAGCCAGTTGTCGGCTCTGATGACGTTTGTTTCTTGCTTGGGGTTTCTGGGATTTGTAAACTTAACCAAAAGACGAAGACGCACATTTTGGTTGATTACCATTGGTTAAGGAATCGTGGCTACACGCGACATTAACGGACGTTTTATATTCTGTATCTAAAGGAACCTTGTAGTATGCTAATCTCCACCGTTTAAACAATTTCTTGATAAATCATTGCCTTTCACGGTAGGGCTTATTCAGTCTTTGACACTAATCATACCAGATTTATTCCATTCCAAGAACACGTTGCGCTAAATGGGTCCGCAAGTTACTAATAATCTCGTTGGCTTATAATAATTTCCTGTCACCGAAGTATGATGTTGTCTGTGTTTTAGTAATTGTTTTAAAACTATTGTTTAGACCGGTCTCTTAATGTCTATTAGTGTTAGAGTGCACAAGTGTGAATAAATAAATGTTATAAATAAATTTCTTCGACATCATTTGAATTGTATTAGGATACCATAGTTTTAAAATTACTCACAAGTGTTTAAGTACCACGCTCGCATATATGATTGGAAGCGTGAATGAAATCGCGGGTACAGATATTTCAGAGTACATAGATGTAGGTGCTTTTAACTTTAATGATAAAAGACATATCTATTTTTATGTAATGGGAAGCAAACGGGCAGGAGGCTCATCTGATGTTAAGTGATACCGTCGCCCATGGACACTCACATTGCCAGAACTGACCGTAAAACTGAACGTCATTCGATATGTCAACACCTAGTATTCCTATGCTAGTTGAGGCGGAATTCGCGCAAACTTGTGTCTTCTGTGGTTAAAATTGGACTAGATTTAATCTACCTCAGTCCGAGACTACAAGTAGCAGAGTTTCGACTTCAGACACAAGTTTGTTTCGGCTACAATTTTCAGTTTAATTAACTTTCATTCTAACTAATGTATATGTATTTATAGATAATTAAATTATTCACGCTAACCAATCCCTCAGGAAAATGTAACGCTTCATATATCATATAGGAAATATATATAAATACAGTCAAAACCGTTACGACGACATCGTTAAGAACAACATACCGGTTATATTGACCAAAATCAAAGGTCCCGGCTGAATTCTATTGTATTAGGTTCTTAATAACTACGTCATCGACTGTTACGACTATCGGTTTTTACGACCAAATATGAGTAGACTTCGACTGAATATCTCGTAGTCGAGGCTTGGCCAGTTAGTTAGATTTCTGAATAACTTATAAAACTAAGTTTAGTCCAAGTTTCATAAACATAGCAGAGATTAGACCACTTTATTAATAAAGCTTTTCTCTTCAAGGGAGAGGCGATGGCGCTCCACGAGCAGCCGATGGCGACGCCGGCTAGATCGACTAGGCTTCAGCGACAAGCCCCTATTGTCGTTCAGGAAACTGACCTCGACGGCGAAATTGTAAGTTTATATATTTGTATTTTTGAGAAAAGAAAATACGTTTATCAATACAAGTCCTATAGCGCTGGATGCAATACTATTAATTCTTAGTAGTTCTTCAAGTATGGGTGTTGTATGATTTGTGTTGTGTTGATAGCAGTTGTTAGCCCGTCAACCGAGCGATGCCACTCTCCGGCTGTAGAACATGGATTTTTCTATGAGAATATGTGCTCATAGCTAATATAATATAAATAAAAAAAGGGTGCGTGTACTTATGTACGCGCGTAAGAAGTTATACTTCTTTGGCATTATTAAAAATAGTTTTTGATTGCATGCAAATAATTAATTACAATTAAATAATCAAAGACTGGAAAAGGAGTCATTAAAGTCAATAAAGTTCAGTTTACATTTGAAAAATTAATTAAATAAATATTTATTATTATTCTCTTACATTAAACAAATAAAACACTATTTATCTTTAAAACATTTTTATTTCATTATACTATTTATTTTTAAGTGACTCTAATGTCTTCATCAGAATTTCGGTTTGTAATTTTAAATTAATCATTACTTGGTTGTGCATCTACGAGGCTTCTCCAAAACTACTTGCTTTCTGCAACAAATAAGAGAATATTAATTTAAGCTCTGTCCATGCAAAACTTAAAATTTTTTATAATTCATATTATAAATTTTTTAACACATTTATATTAATATAATTATATAAATGTGTTAATAATATAATTTGTAGCACATGCTACAGACCTGGATAGCAACTTTCTTTTATTCTATTTAGAGATAGAGATAATTTAAATATAATACCGGTGTCTTCCTTGTAGGTTTCTTTGGAGTTGTTTGGGGATTCTTGTTGTTCAGTTTGACATGATTTTCTTTAACCTTTCTTTAATCCTACAAAATAATGAAATTGTTAAGTTATGTTGTCACTGTTGTGCACACCTTTGTTTGGCTTTTTTAGTATTCAAGTTATGTCAAAACTGATTTATTACCTTGTCATTGTTGGCTGTATTTGCTTTTGGGATATCAATTGTTTCCAAAATGATTTTATTTGTAATAACCTGAAATATATAAATAACATCTATTAATTTAAGTATCATGGTGAGTGGTTCGCACTCAGGTATTAAGGTGTATTATACCCACTGTCCATTATAAGTGGGAATGGGCTCACTTCTGGCAGGACAGAGTTTCGGTACTACAAGTGCAACATGGATGTTTTGAGGTATTACAATATCTCTAACTACCCTGTAGGGGAATAAAGTAATGTTGTAAGCATATGCCTATGCTTGAAAGGTTGAACCTTGAACATCACCATACATCATATTTATAATTAACATTCCTACCTCGACACCATCACAATCAAATTCATTGAAATCTACTTCAAACCATTGTGTCTCGAGAAGGTGATGGTGGCTTTGTTCCACCTCCAGTTTTTGATGTTTCACGGCGATAAGATGACAACTCTTTTTTTGTATTCAATTTAGTGCACTTCCACTGATTCATCAATTGTTTTTTGTCTCTTGTCCTTATATTTGCTAGATTAAATCTGATGTTTTGATTAAATAATGTGGTCATTTTTTTGAGATGCAGGTACTTATTAAAACGTTTACTTCTCTGTTATATCGCTCCAAGCCTTCATTTTCTCCTTATTAGTATTCGTGCTTAAATCTTTGTTCTCAATTATTGATATATAGGGTCGTAGAATATTTCTAAAAAGTTGCTGTAACAAACGCAATAAACAAAAGCAATGAATAATGGTTCATGTTTCAGTTTTAATCAACAATAATACTCGATAATACATACGGATAGTTAACCTCAATTGTATTGAAGCACTCAGGAAGGTTAGCACAGTTTTTTCACAAATATTTTATATTATTTCACAAATATTTTGTATAATGAAAATAACTAGGTATATAATTATTAATTTTAAACAATAATTAAAACTCCTATATTTGTTTAAAAGGTAAATGTCATTGTCAGATGTCAATTGTCATGGTCATTCAAAATTCTTGTTAAGCTGCTAAGCTAGAATATGCGTGAAGTTAGCTTCACGCATATTCTATTTCTTTTTACTTGTAGTTTGTATTATTCCCATCTCGCTCGCGCACGCTATATCACACTGCCAATTTTGTGTCATAGGTGCGCGCGCAATCGTAAAATTTCACTCTCATCAATTTTTCATAACGCGCCTAAAGAAGTACAACTTCAATATATATATTCTATATGAAGTATTAATATATTATTAGTGTTTTAACTGTTGTTGATTTATTTGATACATTAATTAATTATGGCTATAATTGATTTGTAATATTATATTATTATGTATATAAACACACTAGCAGTTTATTAAGCTGATGTGCGCGTATTTGGGGATTTGGAGAAATTATCTAACCAATTTCTAAAAGAGTTGTGGGTGCACTAATTACACTTTTCGGAAACCTCTTCTAGCCGCTACTCGGTTTGGGAGAAAGATCTTTAGGGAATTTGTGTTATGTGGAGTGGTCTTCAGTTTTAAAGAACTCAAATGTGTATTTTCACTTAAAATAAAGAGCTTCTCAATTCCTGGAATATTATAGTGGCCAGTGAGGATTTTATAGGTTTCAATGAGATTTCCTCTTAATCGCCTAGTTCCTAAATCAGTAGGATCAAGTCCTTTTAGACGCTGATTATAAGGTTTGTTTTTAAGTGCTATGACCAGTTTCGTAGATTTTCTTAGAACTCTTTTAAGCATATTAATATCCTTTATGAAATAATATTTTATACGTTTTTGAAAGATATTTTACAACTAGTAAAATTATGTCAGTACACACACTTCACTGAAGGGATCATCTAACCCACTTCAATTAACATTCTTAAAACTGAAACCTTTCACAAGGAAACAACAGAATAAAAAGCAAGAAAAATGAACTATCTACCACATATTTATTCAATATATAGAAATATTTATATTTTTTTTAGTTACTAAGCAATAATTACATTTAATAATATTAGCAGACGCGGAATATTGATGTGAAACATCTATAGCCGCACGAAAAACCGATTTCTGGCGTGACGCGTCGCCACGCGATTCGATGGTATATATATACAGTCTATATGCAGTAGTGTGTACGGTGTGTGTATTTCGAAGTCACTGATTAAAAGAATTAAGTAGTCACTATTTGAAATAAATTCGTAAATTTTTGTATTTAATGAAAATAAATTATTATTCAATAAATAGTCATCGTTATCTTAAAAAAATCGTAATATTTTATTTTATCATTATGACATATTTAGTTCCTATCACAATCTGTTCTTTTCTGCATATTACTTTGACAAAATAATGTCGATGTTTCACATCTGCTAGGCGTCCCGTGACGGCTCACATTTTTTTTAACTTAACAGTGCTTTTACTTATAATAATTAAAATATAATTTTAAACCGACAAATTAAAATTTCGTTATATCATAAAATGTATTCCCACTATAAAACAATAAATATCCTTCAAATGCATTTATGGCATCACATACACATGGCATCTAACTAATTTCAAAACACTCCAAATATTTGAACCGTTTTCCAGGCATGCCGAAAGTCTATTGTTTAGTTCCGGGCATAGTTTCGGTCGACTTATTGCGAGTATATATTACGATATTAAATAAACTTAATTTACGATACGAAACGATATTAAAAAATATATATACTGCTCAAAACAATTAGCGGAACAAGATTTTTTCTCCTTTCTATTGCTTAAACTAAAATTAGATTTAAATTAACTTGTACGCTATTTTTTACCTTGTTAATTTGTTAATTACTACAATTAATAAAAAAATTCAATTTGTATTTTTTTTATTAAAAAAAAAATTAAAATGTGCATTGTAGACGAAAAACAAAGTGACGTCTTTGAATTTTCATTACTTTCTAATCACAGAAAACACATTTTAAGTAGTTTTTTTCAATCTTTTGAGTATTAATAGAAATTGAAGTGAGGCTCACTTTGAGTATTGTTATTCATTGAAGCGAGTGAGTTTAGGTCATAATGCCAGATCTGAATGAATTGCATGTCTCCCGAGCTATCGCTTTGCTTGAAGAGGGTCGAACTATGCGTTATGTAGGAAATGATCTAGGAGTAGCCCCTTCTGTTATCTACAGACTTTGGAAGCGATACCGTGAGACGGGAGAATACTCACGAAGGCGTGGTCAAGGTCGAAAGAGAAAAACTACACGTTTGCAAGATCGCTACATCGTCAACTATGCTTTACGTAATACGTTATTTACGCGTTGGTGAGCACGGCGCAGTAGTCTACTCTAATTTGAAAAGTTTTAATATATTTTTTTGTTTCAGGAGGAATTCGAAGATGCACAGGAACCATCGTAAGCGTTTTTTTATTATATAGAAATGATATGAATTTTCTAAATCTATTGTTTAAAGATTAATTAAGCCATTCCTTAGTTAATATTATAACTATATTGAACATACACAAGACGGAACGGGAGCGAATTGAAGGCAAATAGACTCTGCGATTTAAGCTTGCTGTTCCGTCGGAAAGCACGATTAATAAAAAAATAGTAAAGTTGAACTAGTTTTTCGAATTTTTTGTAAATTTGTATTGTTTTGTTTATTAACGTTTTCCAGTACAGGCATAAGAGAGCTATCTAATATATAAAATTCTCGTGTCACAGTTTTCGTTGCCATACTCCTCCGAAACGGCTTGACCGATTCTCATGAAATTTTGTGTGCTTATTGTGTATGTCTGAGAATCGGACAACATCTATTTTTCATCCTCCTAAATGTTAAGGGTAGTCCACCCCTAAATTATTTTTTTTAATTTTTAGATAAATTACTTATTTTTTATTTTTTTATGATACAACATAAAAAAATACATACAACCCCTAACTTTCACCCCTCTACGATCAACCCCTATTTTTATTATAAATGATATACATGGCAAAATGACGTTTGCCGGATCAGCTAGTAAACAAATATATTTTCAGTATGACACTAAAGAAGGCGCTAGCAGATTGCGAACGAGCTTTAGATAAATTCTTCTCTAATGACGTGAAATCTGCTATGGACATCATGAATCCCTGGTGAGTTTCTGTGAAGGGATATGGGATATGCTTATGCAATGGATTTTCAAGGGAAGGGTACTTGAAAATCCATAATAAGCTCGTGTTTTTACTTACAGTAAGACACCCGTTTTATGTCTACAAGAATTTTTAATTATCATTCTTCGATAGTTTCTGAATACAATGTATAAATAAGTTTTTAATAAAGATTAAATTTTATTAATCTTTTAGCTTTAGCTTTATAAACTAAATTCATATGATGAACTTTTACAGTAGTTGAGAAAAAGACTTGATTTGTACCTTGTTTACAGGAGAAGCTTGTCGCTGTACCACAGTCATGGGGCGGCAATATTTGAATTCATACCGGCGATGCTCACAATGGACCCACGCCAGGTTCAGTCAGCTCTAACCGCCACCCAGGAAACATTTGAACTATGTGACGGTCAACGAAGGGGTTACTCCATCGTTCAAAGCCTTGGATCCATTCTGAAAAAGGTATTGAACTTTTGTCTTGTATAAAATATATATTAATTATTTTTTTATATAATAGGGGGAAAACGAGCCTGCGGGATGTTTTTAGTGGGTGCGTTGCCGGCCTTTGAGAGAGGACTTTAATTACTACGTATATAAATTATTATAAGACCTCTAAATAATGCTATGAAACTGGACGAGACTTGCTATAGAGTTGTAAGTTCATGAATGAAGGGATTAGTTTGTAGAATCTTATTACCGTTTCAAAGGTCCATATTTCAAAAGGGAACGTTATTTCAATTCTGTCTTGTTAGAGATTTCACCTTGATGTATGAAGTGTTTCACCTTACTACTGACTGTACCCCATCCCCCCTTGTGAATAAAGAAGGTAGATTCTGATGGAACAACGTTATATCTTGTCGCGAGACGACGCGTTTAATACCTCGAAGATGCTGTTGACCATTCACAATCAAAGGGAACCCGCCGTCACTCTTCTTTCTGCATTCCCACTCCCTCATTCAAGAAGGATTGGTCACTTATAATTCAGCTTATTTCCTATTATTAAATTATTTGTGGTTCCTCAGCCCAATTATGGAATATACTCGGAAGCAGAGGCGCATGCTGAATTAATTCGCGCAGAAGCACTGCTGGTACAGGCCTGCCTCCTTATAGTGGATGGGGATGATATTGGAGGCATACTACGTGCTACGTTACGCATAAAGAATTCGCATGATTCTTATAAGTAAGTATTCTATATAAATAGTATATCTTATAAAAATATTTTTAAAAGTATGTAGTCTGAATTTACAGTATTCAGTAGTATTAATAATAATAATAAATAGAAAATTAAAACAAATTTCAAAAGTTTGGTTCCTGTGGCAGCAAACCACCATACTATTAACGCTGGCAGGATTTTCTCGATGTATTGCGATACTTATTCGTTGAGCGAGGAAAGTACCAGCTCTTGTGGTACCGGTACTGTCTACAAACTTAAGTCTTTAATTAGCGCCTGTGCACTTAAACCTCACCAAGAGTCTAAAGGGAATAAAATCAAAGTTGGAGGAAAGACTTATATTTGAGCCGTTTATTATTTTCCGCCTGCTCTGCGGCCGCGCTAGCAGTTTCATCTGTAATATTTAGACTTCGTGTGCTAAATAGTTTTGTTTCTATTCAGGGAACAAGTCTTTCATAAGATCAGCTAAATCGTTTTTAGATATGCGTTCACAGTTCTGGCAATTTAATTAAATTTTTCATAATAAATTTTCCATTAATGTCAGATAATTTAATTAACCTATTTGCTCGGAAGACTCTGAAGTGACATTAATATGATTGTAACCCCTTGAATTAATAAAACCGCAAAATTAATTCCCTACATTTCACTATCGGACGGTGCATTAACCGACCCTATTAGTAGTTCCGATTGTAATTTGCGCGTGTCTCGGAAAATGATTTCAGTGCATACTCGTGTACATGGACGGAAATAGGGGTCTGAACTGTATCACAAATATTGAACAAATTATGTATGTGGATATGTGCAGACTGTAAAAAGTATCTAAACCGTTGTTCTAGTACATTGTATAAACATAGACTTCTGTGGTTATCATAAATAAACTTTGACTGTGTTCCTCATGCACTATTGTTCTTGTCACCATGACAGCGTTAGACAAATGATAGGATAGTTCTGCCAAGTAATGGATATGCAGTTTTGAAGTTTAGATTTTAATCTTATTCTTATAATAGTGTCTGAAATATGATCAAAATGATTTTTTTAATACGCTTCTCATTATTCGCAGGATTAGAGAAAAATTCAGTTTGCGTTTAGTTCTAGCTATGTTATATTTGTGTAAGTTTTATTGCAGCCTTACCTCTGCTGAAGGCCATTTTAATAACGGGCTGTGCACAACACGGTGTTCTTGAAAAAATCCTTGATATTAAAATAGCAATGAAAGTCTAATTTATTTATATAGTTTTCCCGTTTTTTGTTTCGCCTTAATAAGATTTTACTTAACCTACCTTTTTAGTGTCTACATACATATGGAACATTTGCTATGCTATTGAGACTGTTCGCTTTTCCGGAATAAGTACTGAATAAAACCATATTTTTAAAGTTTTATATTGTTAATTTGTAATCATAACATAACATAGTAATAATAAAAACATATTTAAAAAGTTTGGTCCCTGTGGCACTGTACCTTTAACGTTGGCAGAATATCCTCGCTGTATTGCGAAACTTATTCGAGGAAATAGTATAAAAATATGTATATAATTTTTTCATTATATTTTTTAAATTTTTCTGTCCATAAAAACCTTCCTGAGAGTTCAAGGGATAAATAAAAAAATCAAATTTGTCCAGCTTTGCGTTTGTCGTCGAGTTTTGCGCTTAGCAACATATTTTGCAATTTGATTTTAAGGGTTCAGTGACCTTTGTATTTCAATCACTTTTAATTTCTTACTTTATTTCTTAAGTAACAGTTATTTATTAATGAACGACTCTGTATGGCTGTCGGGACTTTGTCCCAATAATAATAATAATGAGTTTTTGTTCCGCGCGATTCCAAGGATGCGACTTCAAAGCTACGGATATTGACATAACTGCATCGATCTTGCATACAAAAGCGTAATTGAAAGTTAACGAGTACTAATGGCGCAGGTCCTTGCAACATTGATAAGCTTTGGTCAATGCGGTTAATATACTTGTTATTATCATGTACCCTGACATTTTCCAATTACATTTCGTATCGTAGTTTTATAGATTATATTATCAGTTTGTTTTAAATAATGAATAAATCGAACATATTAAATTGCTATTGATAATAATTTGTAAATACAGGGGATTAAGATACTTAGTTCTGTGGATGGATGGTCCAACAGTTCCTTTCACCTAAAGGGAGCGTCTTCCTTATCATATCACTGGCCGGCCCGAAGGCCTTGTGGCTAGGATCGAGAGGTTCTATGTATATCCTTAGCAGTTAGCGGCCAGAATAACTTTTACGGAATTTAGTAGTAAAAAAATATGGTATTTTTAAGTCGGACTTATTGTAAAATGTTGAATATGTAGTACCAGAATCGAAATATCATTTATTTCAAGTAAATTTTGTATACCTTATAAAAGTGTTACCCAACGTGGGAACCACGCCCCACAGGTGGCAATTCGAAAAGGTTTCGATGATTATCAATACATGTTATGAAAATTTGGTTACTGTGTTTTATTAACAACTTCCCGGTGATACAAAAACATATAATTTAAGTTATTTAAGTGGACAATACAATCTTTAATTTTATAACAAATGGGCATAATTTATTGCCAGTACTTCTCTTCCGTTCTACGCCTTTGATTTGAGACCTAGAAAATGTAAAATTAGAAGCATTTCATATATATTTATTTATTGACGTTCATTAAGTGTACATTTTGTTCACTATATATGAATAAATGATTTTTGAATTTGAATTTGAATGAACAGAAAAGGTCGTTAGAACGAACTAATAGAAACACGGTTTTATCATATCTGTAGTCCACGTTATAAGTGAATCAACTGTTAAGGAATCGTATTTTTGTGGCAAGCTTTGTTACCTTTTTATGCCAGGAATAATTTAATATGTATAAAATTTGCAGGCAATGCTTAAAAATTTTGAACAAGAAAAGAACTTGGGACGATGACAAGTCACGAGAACACTTCGAGAGCGGAGTTCGAATGGGCGTCGCAACCTTTAACGTCATGATATCCATGTTGCCGCCCAAACTCATCGCTTTACTCGAGTTCGTTGGCTTCTCAGGAGACAAGGTATGGTACTAAGACAAAAGCACTCAGTCATATGTAAATTTTGTTTATAGCGGCAAAAGTTCTTGCATCCCAGCGATACATTGTTGTGAATGTCCTGTTTCCATACGTTTGTTAACAAGAAAAATCCAATCATTTTTGGGATTCGCCGAAACATAAAGCAATATTGTTAGAATACTGAAGGTTTTTAGTGTATACTCAGACGCACAGGAACAGTGTTGGCCTAGTGGCTTCAGCGTGCGACTCTCATCCCTGAGGTTGAAGGTTTGATACCGGCTGTGCACCAATGGACTTTCTATGTGCGCATTTAACATTCGCTCGAACGGTGAAGGAAAATATCGTGAGGAAAACGGCTTGCGTTAGACCAAAAAGTCGACGGCGTGTGTCTGGCACAGGAGGCCGATCACCTACATGCCTATTGGACAAATGATCATGAAACATATATACAAATCTGAGAACCTATAAAAGTTGTAGCGCACACAGGAACATAAATATATTAGTTTGAACTATTCCTTGTATTATTGAAGCGCCCGACCATCTGATGTATAAAAATACAACCATTGTTGATTGAAATGTAAATTTAATAAGACAGTTGTGAATTCTGAAAATGAGTTGATTTAACTGTAAAAGAAATTACCATTGCGCTTCGATATAACGAGAAATTTATGGCTTATGGATATAATTTATTACAGAGAAAAATATCGAGTTAAATAATAAAGTTCGTAATAAGTTCAGAAATTATTAAATAAGCTAGACTTGCATATTCAATGTGTGCTCATTGCGTGGCAACTCTGACTTTTATGTTTCATTCATATTTTGTTCAAGTTGATCTGCCTGTTTTGAATCTAAAACAAGATTTCCTCGCAATGTTTTCTTTCATAGTGCAAGTAAATTGCGAACATAATTGGTACATCCTACAAACAAAGGCACGAGGCTCGCTGCTTATTATATAATACTAGATGACCGGGCAAACGTCGTTTTGCATTTATAATAAAAATATCATTTATAATAAAAAAATAAGGGTTGATCGTAGAGGGGTGAAAGTTAGGGGTTTGTATGTATTTTTTAATGCTGTATCATAAAAAAATAAAAACAGAAAAAAAATATTTAGGAGTGGACTACCCTTAACATTTAGGGGGATGAAAAATAGATGTTGTCCGATTCTCAGACATACCCAATATGCACACAAAATTTCATGAGAATCGGTCGAGCCGTTTTGGAGGAGTATGGCAACGAAAACTGTGACACAAGAATTTTATATATTAAATATAATAAACTAGAGTAAAACCACTTCCGTGACATACTCTCAAAATTAATTACTATATTAATTTGTGATTGTCGTCTATCTTTGACTGCATATCTCTTGATTAATCTCCTATTAGCTTGCCGGTGTGTAGGCTACCCACATCGGTCAATAGGTTGCATGTGGCAATACTCTCTTGTCTATTGGAACCTATTGACAGCTATATATTATGACGTTTGTAATTTCCTGAAATAAATGTATTAATACAGATTTTACGGTAACATTTTTTAGCAGGTATACAATCAGAGATGTATGAGTAAATTTTAGATTTTCTTAACGAATTACAATAAAAAAAGGGTGCGTGTACGCGCGTAAAAAGTTATACTTCTTTGGCATTATTAAAAATAGTTTTTGATTGCATGCTAATAATTAATTACAATTAAATAATCAAAGACTGGAAAAGGAGTTATTATAGTCAATAAAGTTCAGTTTACATTTGAAAAATTAAATAAATAAATATTTATTATTATTCTCTTACATTAAGTGAAACATAAATTCTATTATTATTCGAATGTTGTTTTAAAATTCTTCTGTTGGCAACTTCATTCTGTTAATTTCGTGTCACGGTGCGCGCGCATCGTAAAATTTCACTCTCATCAATTTTTCATAACGCGCCTAAAGAAGTATAACTTCAAAAATTCTTAGGTTATTATAAAAACTGGATAGGGATACTTCCACTTCACTGGGCTCATCAATTATTTAGTTGGCCTTCTGCAGGCATTTCCAGTGAATAATTACTTCTGCAGACTTTGTGTAATACATCAACTATTTGGCTGTACCTTTGCTAGAACATTGAGATACCACTACAGCGATACGCTTACAAACCCCAAACTAGCACCCCCCTACGCCCTTACCCCTAGTACGCAACAACAGTACCATATTATTGAACCTGTGTTGGCGTTTTGTTCACATAATAATGTTTATGTATCAATATTATGAAGCAAAACGAAGTACAGTTTCATACAACATAGATGGTGATAAAACTGAAATAATTTTGTTTTTATTTATAATTAGATTATTTTTATGACCGTACCGTTGACCTGGTGGTTTCATGGGTATTATCCGTGAGATCGCAGGTTCGAACCAAAGCACTAATGGACTTCCTATTAACACTCGTACGGTTAATAAAAACATAGTGAGGGAACCGACATGCCTTAGACTCAAGCGGTTTGTCAGGCTCAGAAGGCTGATCACCTACTTGCCTATTAGAAAAAAATGATTAAGAAACATATAGAAATTCAGGTTAAAAAGGAGTGGCGACATTGGTTTTTCACATTCCTATTACAATGAATTCTTTAAATCGCAATCACTCAAATATCTTTTTCCAACCATGAAAATGATAGAGAGAAATGTCAGAATGTCTATCATTGTCTATTGAAGTATTTCAAGAACAGTCTCGGGAATAATTTTTCAAAGATTTTTTAATTCATATAAAATTACCTGATTGTCAACTAAGTATATACGTATTTAAAATTTTAAACGAAAGACAAATGACGGCGCGCTCCGTTTGATCTCTGTATCTCTACAAAACGTCAGGAACTAGCCTACATTCTGAACGCCATCATATAAATCTAAATAGGTATATATTTTTAAATGAGAGATTATTAGAGACCTTTTTTTATACTAAAACTTAGATTTTGATTCCAAGTTGTTTAGATGTAACCTATTATTATAATTAAATCTTTATTAACGAATCCATACAACAATTGGTTAGTCAACATTTTTTAATATGAGTGTTAATTTAAGTTCAAAAAATTTAAGATTTTTTTTAGTAGTCTAGTATTATTATACTTGTATGGCCCCTTATAGGGTAAAAGCTTCCTCCATATTTTTCCATTTCTCTTTGTCCTCAGCAAATTCCATCATCAACTGTCCATCTTTTCTTTTGTCATCCTGTACATCTCTTTCAGTCCAGTACATTTGTTGATTCGAGTGTCCATATTTTATCCCGCATTCTAGGAATATGACCTGCCCAATTCCAATTAAATAAAGATACCTCTTTTATTAATTAAGAAATTACATAAAGATAAGCTATGTTGTTAGATACATTTATTGTTACATCGTTTCAAATATAATGTTACTTAGGGTCTACATCTAATGGTAAAGGCGTATTTGAAATGCTTCCAGCAGTTTTTGAGTTTTTTCGTGACACAAATCTTTCCTCTGTGTATAATATATTATGAAGCATATAAATCATCTCAACTATTCGACATCTATCGCCCGAACTTTGGTATATAGGAACCGGACGTTATTATATAGTAAGTTTACATACTCGATTTGTGCTATTTTCAATATACAGGCAGTCCTCGTACTTACGGCATGTAAAGGTGCGTATAAATTAAGCGCGGCAACCCATCGAACATTGGCGCGCGCGGCGACGCGAAAATTGCCGCGCTCGAACGTGCCGCGGGGCGATCCGCTCGCTGTCGGTTTTTGAGACCGCATCAAAGGAGCTTCAGTCGTTTGCTCGCGCGCAGTTGGGACGGTTATAGTTTTGGTGATTTGGCTCGCGCGGCGAATACGTAAAAAATGGTGCGTCTACTTATGTACGCGCGTAAGAAGTTATACTTCTTTGGCAATATTAAAAATAGTTTTTAATACAGTTGCTCAAAAAGTGGCGTATTGCAGGGACGTATAGCGTTCGGGATGCGGGCTATTACACACTCGTGCTTTTTTTTTACCTTTTCCGAACTAGTGCGTTTTCTTTCCCAACTGTCAAAATAATGTCTATTAAAAAGAAAAAACCAACCACGAAGTTTTTACTAAAAAAAATTCATAGAAATTTTTATGATTCATGCAAATATTTCTAAAAATAAGCTACTGCTTTGTTTCAAGATAACATTTAATGATTTGATTCAATGAGTTAGGTTAGATTTCATTTTATCTCCTTAAATTTCATTTCATATCAATAAAAAATTGTACTGAAGACTTGGCTTGGCTGTATGGGCATAGTTCCCTTTGCCTACCCAGAATGGGTGAAGAAAAAAAAAATCTGCTTATATTCTATTACGGTTGGCGCCATTTTCCAAAAATGTTCTTTGCGCGTTTAGTTGTTTGTTATATTATACATATATTAAATATACATGAAAAATCATACGAAATAAATAATAGTTTGTCTCAAACAGTAAATAAATATGCAACCTAAAACTTCTCCAGTTAGTATAAAAAACTGTACCAATGTATATGTGAACAATAATTTGTATAAGAAATAAATGATTATTGAGTAGAGTATTGTTTTTTTATTAAATTGCATAATTTTTTCGCAACTGTATTAAAAATAGTTGTTCAGTACACGTGCGGAACCGTCATTGCAACTTGTTCCGACTGTCAACCCTCACCTTCGGCTGCGCCTCGGCTCGGGTAGACATTTGTCGAAACTCTTTGCAATGACAGGCTTTCCGCACTTGTAATGAAATATACTATTTTGATTGCATGCAAATAATCAATTACAATTAAATAATCAAAGACTGGAAAAGGAGTCATTATAGTCAATAAAGTTCAGTTTACATTTGAAAAATTAAATAAATAAATATTTATTATTATTCTCTTACATAACGACCACGTCCATACTCCTCGCAGGTTTACAAGAGTGAACTGGTCTGACTATCCGCCGCGGTCTGTTCGTTATGGATCGCCTGCCGCGCGCGGCTGTCACGTCCAACTAAATTTATATCTACATATTGGCTCGCGCGGCAAATGAACGTCAACTCTGGTCGAACATTGGCTCGCGCGGCTGCCGCGCTTAATTTATACGCAGCTTTAGGTTCTCGAAATACGCGACGTAAATCGAAACAACGTAAGTCGAAACACATTTTTTCGCATGTTTACATGTAAAACTCAAGGGTAAGATTCCGGACAACGGTAAGATACGGACTCGAAATTAAAAAAAAAACTGCATTAATTACAGAGGATATATATACTTTATTATCAAAAGTAAGTTCTTAAAATAATTATATATGCACTTATGAAATTGCTAGTTATTTTTGGTATTCGTATGTTATTAATTTTAATCTAATATATAAAATTCTCGTGTCGCGGTGTTTGTAGTTAAACTCCTCCGAAACGGCTTGACCGATTCTCATGAAATTTGTGTGCTTATTGGGTATGTCTGAGAATCGGACAACATCTATTTTTCATCTCACTAAATGTTAAGTGTAGTCCACCCCTATTTCTTTTTTTTATTTTTTTATAATTTTTTTTTTATGATACAACATTAAAAAATACATACAACCCCTAATTTTCACCCCTCGACGATCAACCCCTATTTTTTATTATAAATGTATACATGGCAAAACGACGTTTGCCGGATCAGCTAGTAATAATTATAAAACTTTAATATTTAATGATAAATAATAAATTAAACTTTTGGCTTAAAGAAACTATCAATTCTAGATTGCTTCGCTACTTGCTATCATACATATAGCAAGAAGCAAGCTGCAAAATTTATTTTGTTACTAAAACGTTGAATCTTCTCTCAAAATTAGGATCATTTTCTTCAAAAGTTTTCATGGAATTCTCCAAATTTGCACAAGAAAAGTGAATTCTCCTATGCCGGAAATCGAAACAAATGAAGTTTGCTTGAGGAATAGTGTGGAAGTACAATTTTTTTAAATAAATTCCATTTCTTGACGGCAATATCGGAGTTTGCTGCTATTTTTATTGCATATCATCAACTTTGTTAGAAGATAAAATTCATAAAGTGGACAAGCATAGTTTAATTTTGTATTTTGTGTATACGCAATATGTCCCGCTATCGTCGGTTAATATTAATTTGATTTACTCAATAAGCAATGCATAGAAATTATTGATTTATTAAATTCTTGAAGGTAGATTTTAGTAGATGGTCACATACTTTTTTATTCGATGCGGAACTCTTGCAGGAAATTTCCTTGGAAGGCAATAAATAATTATTTTATTTAAATGTGGAATTGTGGAATCTAGGCACTTGTAAAATTTGTTATATCATATAATAATAGGACAAGTTTGACGGATTGATTTGAAATTTCTACCCATCCTCACCTCTTCTACACCTTTCGTTCTATTGACAATATAACTTAATAAATCCAAGATGGCCGCCGCCACAAAATGGAGGATCACATATTTTTCATGACTTCCTCAATATGGGTATCGAGGGAATGGGTTTGATTAGCAAAATAGTTCTCTATGGAAAAAATGATGAATGAAAAGCCAAGATGGCCACCAATAAAGTGACAGGTTATTTTTTCACTATCCCTTCAATACGAGTATCACATAATGGGGCTTGAGTAGTAGAATATCGTAATATGCTTTAACAAATATAGAATATGTAAGTTTAGGAGTTATTTTGACTTTTACTTGCCTGGTGTATAAATGTAAAATAAAAAGTATGTAACAAAATTAAAACCATTATTAATAATCGGTTTTAACGTTTAACTTTAAAAAAAATTACTTACAGGAGCATGGCCTTCGAGAATTGCTGATTGGAGCTAATAACCCAGGCCTCCGCTCCGTGTTATGCGTCCTGGCTCTACTAATGCACAACCTAGTTATTGGCCAGTTCGCTGCCATCCCTCCAGACTACGACCTTGCCCGGAAACTTATCGACGAGAACCTCGCGGTTGGTACCTTTTTTATGGAAAGAGATTAAGACTATATTTTGTTCAGAATTTATAAAGAATTTTTTTCAGAAGTACCCGGACAGCGCGTGGTTCCTAATGTTCAAAGCCCGCCTCGAGCTGTTATTAGGTAAACCCGCGCAAGCTGTTGAAACATACGAAAAAGCAGCTAAAGCCAAAGGACTATGGCCCCAACTCATACATCTAGCATATTGGGAGATTATGTGGGCTCACGCGTAAGTACACGATGTGTATCTAATACTTGTATAATTTCGGACCGTTCAAGTAATGTTGAAACTACGCTTTGATTTTATACCATGAATCATTTTTGTTGAGTTTGATTGACTTTTTTGAAATTTGTATTTTTACAGAGGTTTTAAAAATCACATTGACTGACCGAATTGTGTCACCTGATAACGTTGACCTACTTTTAGTTGGTTCAGTTCATTTCTTTATAATATTTATAGAAACCCAAGGTTTTTTTCAGTGTCTTCCTTCGGTTTTGTACTAACACGTGTTTTTTCTATCTACATAGTATGATGGGAGAGTGGGAGAAATGTGCACTTTTTGCTACCCGTCTCCTCGAAGACAGTGTATGGTCGCGCACAATATATGCATACGTGCTTCTCGCCGCTTCCCTTCAAAAGGAAACTCCACCTGACAAAGCTTGGATTGAGCAGCTCGTACAGTCAGTATATTCTACATCAGAGTTACATTTTTTATTGTGAAATATAATCTGGCATAAGAAATGAGTTTCGGGGACGTAAAATAACTGATTGGCTCATCAGAATCACATTGAATCAGAACAATTAACTTGTATGTATGCATTAATAATATTCTCACACTCAACTTGGTTTCCTGAACTTGAACAAATCTAAAGTTCCTTATAAAATTTGAAGCAACTGCACTGTTGGAAATGACTTAAGTTAGATTCTGTAATTAAATTTATACTCTCCAACTAAGGGAGTTCTTTCCAACAAGTTTTTCAGACAAGTCCACGCACTTTTGGAATGTCCCAGTACATAGGTAAATAGGACCGGTTGACATTATATGATTGTTGTTCAGATCAGCATCAAACTACAAGCAACGGATCCTAGGCAGATCGGTGCCAATGGAGAAATTCGCATTACGCCGTTGTGAGAGATTGCGCGCGCGAGGCTTACTAGTACTGCCTGGCATCGAGTTGCTCTGCCTTTGGAATATGTTTCCCGCTATTGCGAAAGACCAAAAGATGGCCGACAAATTCCTTAAGGTATTTATACAAAAACGTTTTATGCAATGCGCTTCGAAAATAAATATAAACCTGCCTATATCTATCTTCATGAGCTCGAAAAAAATTTGGTTGTTTGTCTGTAAAGTTGAATGAACCATTATTTTACGTGATAACGTCATAAGAAAACATTGATGAAAATTTTTATACTTTTATGAATTGAAAATTACGATCACTAAATTATTATTATTTTGTATAATACAAAGAAGGAGTTTTCGTTTACATGTTTTACGATAAATTATCTTTTACTTTGAACTCGTTAATTCAAATATATTTTTTTAATAATCAAAAAACAAATATTTGAAATTATATCGCTAATCAAACTTTTAAAATGCAAGAATACTTTACTTTTTTTGCTGCAATTGTTGTTGTACAAAGGAATTCATATTAACTTTTCACTTCACTTTATAAACAGTTGACAAAACGGTTAACGTATAGGTTGTGCGCTGCCGCTGTCTTTCTTTTACTCGGACTCGATGAAGTGGAAGAGAGATAAATGCGTCACAAGCCTATCGCTTGTTCCGCGCTCTCGCTTGCACGCTCCGCTCAGGCGGAACGTGACAATGAGTCAGGTTTTTCCGTGAGTGCAGCCGGCGTCCATCGATTTGTATAACGTTCTCACGTCAGAAAATTCCAAATAATAATTGTCAAAATGTTGATCCGATGTATAAAAAAGCAATTAAAACATTTATCACGCTCTTAGACCTTTTGGCCTCTTAATTAAACGCAAGAAAATATCTAATCACAGATCATCGAGGACGAATACGACATGATAGACAAGATATTCCTTGACTACATAAAGAAAGTAAAGGAGCGGAAAGCAAGCGCCAAGAAAACGGTGGAAGAGAATGACGAGAAATTGAAGTATGACGCTGACGACTTCAACCTGTGTCGGTACTTGCGAGGATCAATGCTTCACGCTATGGGCTTCCCGCGACTTGCCCTTGAGTACTTGGAGGCTGTTATTGAGTAAGTCTAAAGTCCTTAAAAAGTATTTGTTATCTCTGATTTTGTAGGTTTATTGTGATTCATTCCTGGACAAAGATTTCGCGACGGAATTTACGGAGGCTTTCTTAAAGTTCAGTTTTACATTTCTAAGCCCTTGATTTGAGAATTGTCAGCAACACCTATATAATTAAATGATATTTCACAGTACCTGAGGGTGCTTTACATAATAAAGGATTTTATTTACAACCACTAGCCAAACCAAATAAAAATAAATAAATATGAAATAATTAAATGTTTATTGCTATGAAGCAAATGCTTAAAGGCATTCGCGGCGTAAATCTGGTGATTAAGGTAATCGCCACCTTTAAAGAGCCTGAGCAAAATGTACAGCCTTAGTTCGTACAGATGTAAGTCTGATAGTGGGGCATGGGACGTTACTGCGTCAGTTTAACTAATTTTTCTTAGTTGTTGCTAAAGCAGGGTACTCAGGAAGGTTATTAACTTGCGATATGCGTCAACGAGCTGTACCGTTAACAGCCGATTTGCGCGCGAAGTTAACAGCCGATATGCGCGCGAAGTTGTTTTCTATATGATTTGAGATCGAATTTCAAGGGTTACATTTAATTTAACACTTGTGATGAATAGGGAATTTATGTGGTTTGTAATAACTTCGCACACAATTAACTATTTTTGAACAAAATATACATCTATAGAAAAGGCGGGTTTATCCTAAGGTAAGACTTTTAGATGTTTTTTTGTGTATTTTATGGTACGAGTGGTGGTGGTAAGAGCAGTGTTGGCCTAGTGGCTTTAGCGTACGACTCTCATTCTTGAGGTCGTGGGTTCGATTCCCGGCTGTACGCCAATGGAATTTCTATGTGCGCAATGCGCATCCATTTGCTGGTATGGTGAAGGAAAGCATTATGACGAAACCGACTTGGCTTTGACCCAAAACGTCGACAACGCGTGTTGGGTACCGAAGGCTGATCACCTACTTGCCTATTAGATAAATGATCATGAAACAGATACAGAAATTTGAGGCCCAGACCTAAAAAAGTTATAGCGCCACTGATTAATTTATTTATTGTATACTATATGGCTTGGTATTGAAGAGAGATTTCTCAAATCTCATTTACATTTATTTAATTTTCCAGCGACAAGGAGAAAATTAAGGAGAACACTCACCTTATACCGTACTCGATGGTAGAAATGGCGTCTTGTCGCTACAGCCTTGGAGACCCCCACATGGCTTTGCAGATTCTAGCCGAGGCGAGGTAACTACAGAATAAGTTTTAATAATTTGAGGTATTGTGGCTGTTAACAAAGGAGCAGCTGTCCCAGGCTTTAGAGGTCGTGGGCTGGACCGCCGGCTGTGACTCGTGGTTGAATTACCGTGAGAAAATAGGACATAGAACCAAAACTGTTGATGACGTGTGTAAGGCTGAAAATTTGATCAATAATCTAAGGCCCAGACCTCAAATGTCATTGTCGATAAGTATATATCCTCAGTCAGAATAACTTCGTGATCGCGTTTCAGGGTAAAACGTCATATATATGCATACGAGCTAATCTACACTAGGTTTAAAGAAGCTTATTCTAATTAAATACATACATGTCCCTTTCATGAGAACAAAAAAATAAATAAATACATAAAAAGTAAGATAAAGACTTCACTCTTCTCTCTCTCTCTTATCTATCTTTTTCTACAGATTGAAATAGCTTAATCGGTTCTATGGTTTGCTAGATCGCTATAATAAACAAAATATAAATTATCATATAATTATTGTATGTAAAAAAATTCAAAGAGAATTTAATGAAATAAATATAGAGGTGTACCCAAAAGAATAAGATTTTTGCTCTCTTTTGATAAACGAAAGCGGTAACAAATTCGTAAACAATCAAAAACTCGCTGTAGCGAGCGACGTAGGCGGAAGGCTTCACGGCTACTTTGCTATCCCACTATTACATGTGACTCAACTTCAATATATTCTCTAGGAAAAAATCTGGGTACCCCCTCGAGTCGAGATTGCAGTTCCGCATCCACGCAAAAACGGAAATGATTCGGCATAAGCTAGAGCCAAGACAAACAAACGCAGCCTCAAACGCAACAGCGCGAACAAAACTCGACACGCCCTATACTTTGGGGACACAAGAATATCTTGTGAGGACCACTCCACCTCTGCCCGTCCCTAAGAAAGAGGATGAAGAAGATGATAAGGGGAAGAAGAAAGATAAGGGAAAGGGTAAAGACAAGGGGAAGGGTAAAGACAAGGATAAGAAGGTATGTATGGTGCACCAAATGATAAAATTGCAAGTGTTTTAGATTAAATTAAATTGTTTATTATTTCGCTAAAGTTCAGGGTACGATCTTTTTTTTATTGTCTTCAGTCATTCAAAAGTTTAGCACTTGCATTATTTAATAAAAAATTAATCGTGCTGGAATTAAACGTATTTTAGTTAGTAAAATACCCTTTTTATTTTAAGGACAAGAAAGAAGACAAAAAGGAATCGGTAAAAACTGTTAGGAAAGCTGACACCATCGTGAATATCGGAGGTGAAGTTAGCGTCCTACCTCGCCCGGTGAGTGGTTTTGTCGAAAAAAGTTTATCATACAAGAACAGAGTTGGATGAAGTGTGTGTGAAAGTGTAATGGACGCAGTTTACAGCAAGTGTAAACGCTGAAGACGAATATTGTTATTTTTTTGTCTAATTACCCAATTAAGCTACGAAACGTGGCTGACATAAAGATCTACTTGCCTTTAAAATTGAATAACAAGAAACGAAGCAATTTGGCCATAACCCATGTAGGGTTGCCCACTCGATTCTAATTTTAACATTCACTTAGAGTTATCATTTTATCACAAGGGGAGGGTAGATTAAGAAGATAAATGTTGACTCAAGCATAGAAGTAAATTTTCAGTAACTTTAATTCATATTTTTACTATTTTCAAAAAGTTTCTTGTACCACAATTCTGGGGTAGATCCGAAAACGAAAAAATTTAGAAAAACATCTTTCGATCTTATAAATAAAGGACCTTGGGCACTGCTCTACGCACATTATCTATACATGTAAAAATAATGGTCTAACGTGCGACCGTAGTTTTGTGGTACATACAAAAAAAAAAAATATTTTTTAAACTCCTTAGATATATATAAAAAATAAGTTTGTATGTGTATATTAAGGCAATACACGTTATTACAATTTGTAAATCTGGCAGCCCTGGACGGACAAGATCCGTATAGGTGGGGCCGAGGGAGGAGCGTCGAATTCCAGCGATGTGCACACATATTGTTACCAGGATGTATCGGATTATCGTGGTCAATTCAAAGCGTGAACTTTGTTAATTGGCTGGCTGATTCTTATAAGTTCATACCTGCAATCTGTGTTTTGTGAATTATTTAATCTCATAAAGAATCACTTCTCTTGTTTTGATTAGGTTTGGTGTATTTTACTGTTGCTTATTCTTAGGATCGTTCTAAACGGGTTTAAATTACAGATTTCTTACAGATACTCATGTGTCTTCGTTTAAATATTGACATTAATAAATATTGATATTACTCATTATATGAAGCCAATTTAAAATTATGTGAATTTAAGGCTTCGCCGGTGGCTGGCACGTCCAAAATGGATACGATGATAACAACCGAGGGTGTGGTGGTAGTCCAGCCCCGATCTGGAGACGTCCCTCTGAGCATGGCACCTCCGAAGGGCGATCGCAGCAAATGACGAACACCCTCATGCGCGGACGCCGCGTATAGCCGGTCAAACTTTAAAATCTGGCGTTATTTCATCTGCCCAGCTTTTCTACCAGCTACTGAAATCCCGCACGACCAATTCGATTAAGCAAGTGTCGACCGTCTAAAATTGATTACAAAAAGGAAATACGCGTGCTAATTCTGATAGGACTTGTAGATATTTTGTGAATTTTTAAACTGAAAAAATCAGATGTTGAAATGTGATAAAAGAGTTGGTTTGAATTAGCACGTGACGCCTCTGACCACTTGACAATTTACAAATGGAGACGACTTGAGAGCGAAAGCGCAGTTGTCTGTTCGCTTTCGCTCTCAAAGTCGTTGAACAACAAAATTACAAAAAATTCTAACAAAATTATATGTTACATAACATGTTACATACTTAATAAATATTTTGTATTTATGTTATTTATATATTGTAAAGATCAAAGTTTTATAGAGAAATATATATTGAATATATGTTTTGGATGTGAAGGTTTGATGGAGTTTTGATAAAATTGTAATTGTATCGAATTTTTACTTCCGTTTACGGTAAGAATACAAATCTTGCATTTTGATCTTTCAAAGGTGTGTTGAACGCTATAAAATGTCGTATGTCAACGAAAAATTGTTAGTTCTCTAAGGGTGCGTCCACATCTGGCCAATATGCCGCGAATGTGCAGCTCGCGAGCAGTATGCGAGCTTCGGTTTCGGTGATAACCGAATATTTTTTTCCGTTTTTTATCCGCCATTTTGTTTTTCTAAATTTTGACTGCGAATTCGTGATCAGCAACCCCGACAACGTAACTTCCAAAATTCATGGAATTCCAATGACATCTCCATATTTTGGCCAGCTTTTTGGGATTTCAGACCACTGTGGGGCGGCGCGCTAGCAGCTCGTGTCTTTCTTCCGCCCACGCCAGTAAATGGAACTGTAAGCACGAGAATTGAGTGCGCGCAGATCGCACGTCTTATACGAGCCTTGCATGAGTTGCTCTAAAGAGGCGCATCAAACCATTGCCGTGACTGCACGCACGAGCTCGCAAAACGCTCGCGAGCTGCACATTCGCTAGATGTGGACGCACCCTAACGTACCTTTTATTTAGATTACTGTGTATGTAGCTCAATTATTTATACACATTTTGTATGAAATGTTTTGTATAAAAATCGTAAGATGGTAAATATAAAAGATGTAGAATCCCGGAGACAAGGATTTTATAATCAAGCACTATTTTATAAAGTAGTTGTCACAACAGCGTGCTATTGAATTCATGCATTTTTGTAAAAAAATCAACCACGCATTTTCATTAGAGAGGAAATACAGCAGAATGCCGTTAAGCAAATAGAAACTTTAGTTCGATTTCAACTTTTCAGAGGAAATTCAACAGTCAAACTTTCGTGTGTTTTGCAGATTTTTGCAGATATCACTTTTTCTGACAGTCTTCGCTTACAAAAACAAACTTATTACTTCTGTGCCAGGGTACCTCTAACGCTGGCAGCATTTCCTCGCTGTATCGATACTTTATCGATGAGCGACGAATGCCCCAGGTCTGGGGGTCCCCGGTACTATGACGCGCCAACTCAGTATCTTCTCCAAAGTGAACGAAATCAAAGTTGGAGGAACATATTCATTTACTTGTATGAATAATATATTATAATCAGAATTATTAAAGTATCTCCGAACAGTTTGCTTGACGTTCATCTGCTTGATTTCTTCAATGTAGGTCTCACTTTTTTAAACGTCCATAATCATTGAGTGATAGTTATGATTGAAACTAAAATGTGATGAATGCTTAGTATAAAGACAAATTTTTCTATATATATTATAGTATATTGTCGGACATTTTCATAATCATGAAATTATTACGATTCCTATAATATCTGGGATTTAATTGAAATGATGTCAAAATTATATCCTAGTCTCTATTAGAAAATATATTTTCATATAAATATATTTCATCAATGTCAAATGTTTTTAGTAAAACTTTCATTGGCCGAAATGGTACAATCAGTGTTTAGGAAGAGGCGAGTGAGCATGTAATGCGTATTTTATAAGAGATAATATGTTTTATTATTTATCATATATTATGTTTCAACTTGCATAAAACTTAACCAACCAGGTTAAAAATAAATATAACCTATTATTGTAATTATTTTTTAACAAGAAATACACAATGTATGAAAGGCACACTGGCATAGGACAAGGGACGGGAACTGTTAAAAATAATCCCAAGCTGTTAAAAATAACAAAACTAGCTCAACTCTGAACATAGATCGATAAATTGTATTTTAAAATGCAGTTATCTTGCTGGTCGTGAACAATATTCTAGTATTTACTGAAGTTATTGTGTTGAAAGTTAACTAGACTTTGCCGACACGAAACTTGTAGTAAGCAACAAGTAGCTATAAAGGAATTGTTCAGTGCGAGCTATGCCTCATTGCTTGCGATTGCTTTACGACTTTGATCCTTTTTCATTTAACCTTAAGGGCTCCAAAGCGTAACATAATAAACTTTATCGCGAATGTGATAACTTTGTCCAACGCAATCCCCTCGCTCGTAGGAAAAATGCTATTTATAATGCGATTTTTGTAAGTGCTCATGATAAAATTAAAACTTAAAACAACTTATGGAATAGGCATAAGATTGGGTACGTTTTGGATATATTTACTATAAATCTTAATTGAGTTTTTAATAATGGGAATGAATGGTTAGATCGACCAGTTCCTTTATTTTTATATAAGTAAATTTTTACCTTTCATGTAAATATTGGACAGAAATATGGTAACGAACGAATTTGTGGCGAAAGGGTGGTCGAGCCTAATTTGTAAATTAGGAAGGAAACGCGCATTGTACCTGTAAGGCATTTAAAATGTCGATAAAGTTATTAATGTCCAAAATTCCGTTATATTTACACAGAAAATGTATATTAAACAAAAAATTGGCTATGGTTGTAGTCATGAATGTGGTAATCACATATAGAATATATTCCTGTTAATAGATTAGAATTCTATAGATGTTTCATACATATAGCAAATTTTAAATCATGTTAATGCTTGAAAGAATTTAATGTATATTAGCAAAAAATTTGAACGTAGAATTAATGATTTTCTCAAAACTATTAATGATTATTAAAAATAGTAAATAAAGTTGTTCACATAAATAATTGTAGAAAATAATAAGCTTTGCAGAAATCCCCAATAATTTTTATAGTATATTAAATAGTCAAACAGTACAGTTTTTTAGTATATATATAAAATTGTAAAGTTTAAGTAATATAAACTCTTAATGAAGTACTGCATACCATATCTATTATATATTGATATGGTTCCTCTATATGGATAGCTGTGGCATCGTATTATTCGTGGTTTTCCGGCAAAATAATGATTGATTCTGATTGAAAAGCACTTTGTCCGAGGGAAATCAATGTCCCCGGAAATTTAGTTAGGGTGGTTTAAATTTCCCCTTATAATTGTCGGAAATCAACTGTTGTCACTAGTTAGTAGTGAACTTTTAAAACGTGTGTATATATGTATATTTCGACTATTCGTGTTTAGTAATAAGCTCAATAAAATCTTTATGTCATCTGATGAAAATAGTTGATGTAATGTTATTAGATAAATTTAGTTGAAGACGTACTGAAACATTCCCGTTTGTTCATTATGAAATATATAAAGCTTAATGTACTGCTATTTTTATTTTGGTGAAATGTAGTGAATAAATATGTTGAACAGAAATGGAAGTTATTTGTCTACGTTCCCTGTTAATCCACTCCACTCCATCCACCTGTTGCTTTGAACACATTTCGCTTTCATTAAAATGAGCTAGTGTGGATAAATATGGTATTTTTATTTCCTTTGTAAAATTACCAGGTTGTGCGATTTATTGATTTTAATGTAAAAAATTCAAGAATTAGGGCATTCTATTCCTTCATTATGTATCAAAAGTTTACAAATTCACGTAATCTGAAATCAAGAGTTCAGGTTATTTCGTATATGACATTCAGAATTATAAAGAGGAGGATAAAAATATGTTATAATCCGAGTTAAACTATTATCTTAAGCGAATTAATTCATAATTAAATACATTTAGAAATCAATAGAAACAACACTTTTATCCTATTTTTGAATTGATAAAACACTGGACATATATTTTGGTGACAAATAAAAAACAATTAGGTTCATTTTATATTTTATTGTTTTACATCCCTGATAGGGCCGCACTACACTTCTACACAATTAGGTGGGAATTAGCCTTGTCGGCGGCTGGGTGGTTTTCTTTCATGTGTGCTGAAAGGAAGACCACAATAGGGACACATGAAGCGAAGCATATAGGGGCCATGACGACGAAGATTTAGCCAGAACACGTCCATCTGGCGCAGAACTTTCAGGAATATCTGAACCTCTCGTGCGGTTCTCCTAGTGTTGAACGGCGGCTCGGTATAATCATAGTCGGTGTCCAGCAAAAATAGCCAATCGGGGATTTCGTCCGACATTTTTTTAGCTGCTCCAAAAAAACGGGCGTTCACTGTGAAAATTCCGAAGAACTTATGTATTTTATTGATCCAGACAGAGTTGCCACAACTTGATTTACGGTTCCGGAAATTATTATAATTTTATTGACACATGTTGCATTCCGTATCACGAGACTAAATACGGATCCGAACTGAAAGAGAGGGTGTACTGTCCATATAGTGTTGAATTTAGTGGACAAAATGGGTTTGAGTTTTATTCTTTGGCTTATTCTATAAATTATATTTTATAATTTCAGACATAATATATTTGATTTAATAAAATTAGACCCATAAATTGGTATTATTGTAAAATATTTTTGTTATAAAATATAAATTGAATAAATTTTTTATTAACAAATATATTTTCTATATCAAATATATAGAAAAATCTAGTGACGTCGAATTATGACGAATCGGATTATTGATTAAAATTTACTATATTCAGTAACATTAATGCCAATTGTAATTAACAGAAACATTGTTTTTTAAATTTGGATCAAAATTATTTTATTTAATATTTTTGGCGGTAAAAATATATCTTCGCACAGATTACGAAAAAACATAAATTATCTGTTTCAGCCATTTACAAACTCCTGTCTAGGAATGTGTTATGCATAGTAGCAACTCGAAACTATTGACTGCACTTGCACCTGCGCCCAAGGGCCTAAATATTCGCGCTTGTTTAGGAACCTTTATAAAAACACATATTTCTATACAATAAAATTGTTCGCTATCACATTAAACTAAGTGTACGGATTCAAAACTTAATAAAATATGTCATGAATGTTAATTTTGGCTAATTACGAGTAATATATTGAAAGGTAAGTACCATAAAAACTCTATAATTTACTATAACATATTATTCTTCTTCGCAATATTTAAAAGCTTCGTCTTTATCTGACAACAAAGCTTGATTGTAATTAGATAGCGTTTAGTGTTTGAGGACGGTTTGCAAAGGACGAGTTGTACACCATAATTAGTAGTTCTATTGAAGTGCTTATTCATGACCTTTGGTAGGCGTAAATAATAAGTGTATATAATGAAGATGGAATAATAGCCAAAATTCTGTAACTCAGGTTCGATTTCTGTCAAAACAATAATTGTTTCGCTTTGTAACTCGTGTTATGTAATAGTCCACTGGCGGATGTGATGTCGCTTCACTCCGCAATTACGACTTCTGTTTGCCATTCCGTCTATTGCCTTCATACAGAATAACCTTTTTCAGACACGATTTTGATGCTATGGTAGATTGCTGCTGTGGTAGGAACAAAGGTAGCCAACAAAATAATCACATGGTGTTTGCAGTATGCGGTGTGCATATATTTTATTATACTTTGTGAAAATGCTGTCTAATCTGTTTTCTAACTAAGAAATGTATGGAGAGATAGATCCCTTATCTTGTAGAGAAGATACATTTCTATAAGTTTAGTTTTATTTTGTTGGGTCCATTTAAGCTCTCTTAAATGATTTTTTTTTATCTGTAATATCGTCTTAACATTTAGTATAGCAATATTAAAATAATTAATAAATCATTTGGTATCGAAAAATAGTTAATATTAAAAACGCATGTTATATATACTATTATAACAGCGCCATCTCGTAGCATAAAACGAGACTACGTCGAAGTTTAAACTGTTGCAAGTAAAGCTTATATATAATATCTTCATAGATAGCACTTACACAAAATTTGTCCTAATCGCAATGTATGTGCTAGAAAAATTCTGCCATAAAATTGTCAAATATGTCTCTATGATAAATAGTACATGAGGTAACGCTGGCCAGCGAGCTCCGTCTCCAACTCACCCATAAATATCACGAGGATATTTCCCGGCGGGAGACATCAAACTTTTTCAGTAAATAAAGTCCCCATTTAGGGAGATTTGACACTCCCCTATCTAACCTAATATCTCCGCTAGATCTACCTGATCGCGTGCCTGATGGACTACTATGTTAGGGTCCTATACATAATAACCGCAATGTATGTTATTTTATTAATTAGAATCACATTTTATGTGTCAGTAAATCTAATCAGCATATTTTCTTTTTAGCTACCAACTATGTTACAACCTAAGTACAGGCGCATGGCATTGCAATAAGCAGAGAATCGAAAAAGCCTTTTTAGAATAACTAAATGTTTTATCTATCAGGAGAAGAAATAAAACATGTTATCACGATATCAAACATTTATTTAATTTTCAGTGTTTACAGGACCGATTAACAAAACCATTATAAATATTAAAGATGCGTGTGAAAATTATACTAACTTAATACTAAAACAACATGGAACGCATGAAAAACAAATTGAAGTGAAAAACTATACAATTAAAGGTGCCCCAAATGGCAGGGCATTAAACTAGTTTCAAATTCAGTACCTATGGTTCTATGCCGCTGAAATAAATAGAAACAAACTTTGAATTTTAAACATAAATTTGTCTTTATAGGCGACTTTTTCTTATTTAAATATATCTTAAGTTTCATACAACATTTATAATTTCTTTTTCATTCATAAAAAAAAGTTATTCAATATAAACATATTACATAACTTTTATTTTAAATAAATATAATTACGAGCGATATTGAAGTTATTAAAAAATAACACTCGTAAACGCAACATAGATCCATATAATACAAAAACATATTGGTTGATGGGTCACATAATAAAGGTGTGCTTTGACCTTAAGGACACAAGTTTTTTCAACCAGACAAATTAGATTGACAAAAAGCTCTAAGCTCTTTGGTGAAATGTGACATCTAGAGATAATTTTTTCACTGCTGAAAACTCATAGACTAGATAACGTAAAAAATAGACATTTGAAAAAACAATTATACCCGTGAATTTGCAAAGCGTCCCCTTTAGGTTCTATGTGTATTGAAACTCACCTTGAAAAATCACTAGATTTAAGATTAAACATTTAATTCACATAATAAAACAGCTTGTTTTATTTAAAGGAATAACATGGTAATTGTTAGCATCTAAAAACCATTTCATCTACAAGAATTGGAAAGGAGAAGCCTGCCTTTATTAAATGCTAACTAGCGCCTTCCCCAATATTTAGGGCGTGTTTAGGCTGGCAAATAAGAATTCCGTTTATTTACGTTCATATACATCTTTAGGTACAATTTTTTTTATAAATACTATCCTAAATTGGCCTCAAACACTGAACTATCCTTATACTAATTTAACAGCACATTTAAGTGTGAAACCTGCACAGTGGCTGTATTTAAAGAGCCGTGATAGAGACAATTAACTACAACATTCACTATATACGGAAATTGTTTTATAGTTGTAAAAGCCTCTACAGAAGAATTAAGTCTCGTACAAATGGATTATAACTAGGACGGTATCTCGGATCTGAAAGAGAAATAATTTATAAATGACCAAGCGGAATTATTTCTATTAAACACACACTTTATTCGGTGATATAAATTAATAATAATTCAATATATTATATAACTAAAGATAATAAAACGAGAGACAAACATACCTATCTCTTTTCTTGTCCATCCTGTGATTGCACCGAGTAGTAGCGATTGCGCAATTCCTCTCGATACCTTTTGAAATATATAAAATGTAGTATAAAATAGAATGACTTAATACATTATAATAAATCAGGAATTATAAAGAAAAAATTAAGTTAATTTAATTGTAAGCCAAAGTAATTTGGGATGGTTTCTTACCTCTCTCTGTCTTGTGGCGTAATAGTGGTATCAGTGAGAAGCCTGACAGCGAGGAATCGATCTCCATCATAGTCTGGTGACTGCTCAGTGCGTTCCTCGATTCTGGTGCAGAGAAACGTCAGGAACATATTGAGCAGACGGTCATCGACCTCTACCCTCTCGCCGAGATCCAGGGAAACAACTATAATCATGTTAGGTTTAGGTTATTATCGCGTGGGTACCGGCATACAACTAGACATAAACAAACATCAAGGAACATACTATGAACTTTATTTTGATTATTTCATGTTATAATTGCTATTTAATAAATTCTAGACTTCAAATATCTTTTTTAAATGAATTTTTTTTTTCATATCTAATTTTTGCAAAAGTACTAAACCGATTTACATAAAATTCGGAATATTCAAAAACAATAAAGAAATATGTAGATTGAACTCGACTATAAAATTTAAAAAAAAAAACATTCTTTTTTAATAGGTTTTTTTTTTCATTTATCCACCTGCTGAGCCTCTTGTCCTTTATCAGATTTTATGATAGGATAGGAATTGCAAATCCAATCAATCCCTCCGTAACTCGCGAACTATCAACTATTTATCATCAGCCTTTTTCAAATAAAAAAAATTTAAATGACAAATTACAGGACGTATACTTTTTTTGATGAAAGCGGTTTAAACGTATTTTATATAAATATTAATTACACTCTGCGAACGAGTTGATATCAGAAGGTAGACTTGGTTCCTGGTTCCGCTGAGAATGTCCGACATGGTAGGCGTCACTCAAGGGCGAATCACGGCCAGAGTCACGCGTATCATCCGTAGCTAACATCCGATCTTCCCCTACACTCCACCAGTCAACATTGGATTCGTTCTGAATAAAAAAGAACAGACCGACATACATATAAGTACATAACTGCTAGAAGATTGGTTGGAAATTGTCCGAGGAATAGACACGTGGAAGAATTTGGAGGAGGCCTTAACTCCGTCGGAGGTCGACTACTGTTAAACAATGGAATATGGAATGTAATATATTTTGTACTCGCTAAAAAAAGCAATTTCTTTAAATTTTTGAAAAACTGGTATGAAAATTAAATTTAAATGGTTATTTATAAGTGATAATACATTATTAAATAATTAAAACTTACCACTAAAGAATAGGATACCGTATCGTCGGGCATGCTGAAAGACACAAAAGTTCAAGTTGAAGTTCTCAATTTTACTTACTTTTTCTTGTCAGAAAAAGTAAGCAAAGCTCGCAGAGTTAAATACATAGTACAAAATCGTGTTATTTTTTTGTAATCCTCGAAAAATGTTACTTTTTTCAATCTTAAATTTTAAGGCTAATTGGAAAACATAGTCGATCTACTGGAACCAACACGTGGATCACTTAGAAGAATGCAGACTTGACGAAATTAATTTTTTTTCTTATAAAATATGTTACCTTGTCAAATAAACCGTTTATTATAACAGTTTCTTACCGTGCCAACAATTACTTCCGATTATACTCACTTGCGAGACACAAATTGCACTAACGACATAGGTAGCACCGGAGCAGGCCCTCGGAAAGCTGAAGTGGATTCAGACCTGGATACGAGTGCTGAAGAGTTTGAAGATAATGCAGACCTGGCTACTGACGCTGACGTGGAAGCTGATGCTGAGGGAGCTGAAGCTGGCACATACGTGGAATGTAGTCCTGAAGGTCCTGCAGTTGGTTCTGGCGCTGACGCTGACGTAGAAGCTGGTGCTGAAGAAGCTGAGTCTGCTGCAGACGTGGAATCTGGACCTGAAGGAGCTGTAGCTGGTGCCGAAGGAGCTGTAGCTGGTGCCGACAAGGAATCAGGTCGTGAAGGAGCTGATCTTGGTGCACTAGTGGAAACCGATGCTGAGGGAGCTGAAGCTGGTCCGGAAGGATCTGAAGCTTGGGCAGATGTGGAAGCTGGTTCCAAAGGTGCAGAGGCTGACGTCGTCTTGGAAACTGATGCTGCGGTATCCGGAGGCTTAGCGGAATCCGTTTCCGGTTGGGGCATCTCGGACCTGGAATTCCAGGTTGGCCTATTTGCATCCAGCGGAGCAGCTGACCTAAACACGTCGACGAGGCGTTTATCAAAATTTCCAATCAAACGCTCACTCCCTCAGCCCAGGGAACCGTACATTTAGGTCCTACGAGCCGGAATTCTCGGAATGTAAACTCGATTTAAATTAAACTCCATATTTTAAATGGATGCTTTCCAACAGGTTCCGTTCCAGGGCCGAGCTCAGAAAACGCTCTTTTATTTTAATTTTATTGCTCAACAAAAGTAAGAAAGATTTTAACTGGTTTCCTGGTAACATTATTTACATGATCGCTTTAAGAAAGAAGTGAATATCTTAAAACCCACTGAACCGATTTTGATACTTGAAGGGTTCCCTATGTCCAATATACCTGAAAATACTTTGATATAATTCGCGTTTACTCCGTTACTCAAGTTAAAAGTAGTCGCGCAAATACGGGTTATTATTTACCTTATTCTCATATTTTGTACCCTGGAGGTCCACATTGGGCGGGCTCTTGGCAAATTTCCAGAATACATGTCACGGGTGAGGTTCACGTTGCTTTCGGTCGCCCGTGACGTGGACGGTTGTGGAGACCCATGCCAAGTAGCGTCACGTTCACGTTCACGCTGTTAAGAATTAATTATGCATTTTCTTTTTATAGAACATAGAGGAAGTGGGCAAGGGCAGTCAGCTGAGTGTAAACATTGACTATTGCAACAAGAAGCATTTAGGGAAATATTACCGGCATGAGCAAGACTCTATGTGGAGCAAAAAAAAAATCACAAGATTCAACGTGGGAAATGAGATAGAAAGCATTACACAGTGTATTTAAACCTTTAATTAAGTAAATATTTAAGTAAGTGTAGTAAGAAGTTTTCACTTAAAAAAAATTGATAAATTTCATCTTATTTTATAATTGAACTACTTACTTGACTTATTAATTTGCACGTTTTTAATTCAGAAAATGATCAAATACACACAAATTTAAAGTGCCACGCCAAATCCTACGAATTAATGCATGCCTCTTTTTCCGTTGCATCCGGTTTGAAATTACAACGATTCTAAAAAGGTTTAATAACAAAAGTTTACCGGTTCGCGGGGAACGATGAAAATCGGGGGCTCGTCCGGAGACATACTCGCGCGGTACACTCCCGCAGACATACAATAAAATGCAATATTCAACAGCAAGTCTCTGTTGGTGTCATCCATAGTGCGCATGCAATCAATCTGTTAAAAATATTTGATTAATACTGGGTAACAAATAGGATTAAACAAAACAAATCACTCCACCAGCAAGGTTTCACACTCGTAGAGTGACGTCATTGCATTTAGAAACCCCCGCCCTGATTTCGATAAAAATATAAATTTTCTATATTAAGGCTTGTTATATACTATCTTAAACAGGTATTCTCAAAATAAATAAGCATGTTGGATGGATTTTTATAGAGTACATAATACCGCACACCCTGTACAAACAACAGGCACAGTATTTAAGAATGTGAAACCATTGCATACATGGTGCTTTTTGAGTGAACTTTAAAATATATAAAATTTAACATATGTATATATTTATATCGGTAAAACTTACCAAATAAGCACGGAACACCGTTTCTAAAGCCACGCTGCATTCCCCAACGCAATAGAATAGCACAATACATAAATCCTGATAAAACAGTGGCACCAAAGTCCTCATGCTTCTGCAAAACTCGTTCGGGTCCCTTATGGTGATCAAATTGAAAATGGCTGGCATGTGATGGCACAACACCCCACGTATAGACGCGGTCATATTGATACTCGGTGACACAAAGACCATGAGGGGCTAAAAAAAATATGGTTTAAATTAAAATCACATCTATTAAGAAAAGTCCCATAGAATTCCCTGTGATGGCAGCTCTTCCATTTACATATAAACGGTATTTGCCTTAATAATTCCTACATTAAACTTACAATTAATAAACTACTGTTGCACAATAAGAATAATATCATTTTAGCATTGGACAAATTTAGATGTTATTTTAAAGTTAGTGAATTAAGTCAAAACTCAAACTTAAATAACTTTATTCATATAGGTACACTTATGAGCGTCAATAGGAAAGATGTTAAATTTATTTATAAATTTACATTTACTACCAGTCCGCAAGTTAAGAGAGTAGAGCTGGCAAGAAACTCTTCGCCACTCTTTTTAAAACTCTTAAATTTTAATTTAAGTTTTGAGTCATACAAATTGTTTGAACTGGAGAAAAACAATGCCAAGGATAATTTAAATAATCGTCAATTTATGCAGTGAGAATTCTCAAATTTCGCTTGAGAGTTTAGTCTTGGATTAATATAGTAAATTTAGTTTTTAAATGGTTAAAAAAGGGCCAATAGAGAAAAATCGTTGGGCCAAGAAGAAGAAGATAGTTTAGATTTCATTTGAACATTGACAAACTGCTGACACGGCTCACGTGGTTGTTCAAACTGAAGGTGCATTCACAAAAATAATATTATGTATGTGTGCATGTGTGTATAACACCTATTGTGTTAGTAGTATTTGAAATGTTTTATAACAATAAACCAAATTTGAATATTGCTCTGTCTTGGTGAGCGTTCAAGTACGTTACGTTACGTCACCCAATTTTTTAATTGACACCCCCCGTGTAATGTAATGCGCCGTAACGTTTTTCTGTACTCAAGTATAGTAAAACGTTTTGTGACCACCTTGTGACTTTTTATAAAAAGTTACCAATATGTGGTGTAAAGTACCTACTGGAAAGTCGAAAAATAATATTAACAATAACGCGTAACATAATCCCCGCCCAAGCACAAGCTTTGAGATAATCCTACCACCTTGAACCTTTGATCCTACCCGTAGGACCCCGACTGTTACCTTAGGTCTCTTGGTAGACCTCTGATATATTCACTACTTGGCTTAGGGATCTGTAGTGTTGTTAAGTTCTTACGTCTCACCTTCTTATATTAAATGCTGTACAGAGACTGTAAGTACTGTTATTGGACACTTTCTTATATTAAAAATAAATAAAATTTTGAAGTAAAAACATTATTAGAAAAGAAATAAAAAATCACTTACAATGCGTCTAAAAAATTGGGTATGTTTGAACATTATAATGTCAGTCACTCTATCAACGGATTCCTCGTAGGGAACGCTTTGCAACAGGCCTCTGAAGTAGGTGACCACTACATCCCCAACTTGTAGCACCTCTTGGGTGCTGAGGTAGCGGAAAGAGCTCGGTACCACGGCTTCTCTCTGAAATAATTTATTTTGTATAGTGCTTCCAGCAGCAGTTTTGGCCTAGTGGCTTCAGCGTGCGACTCTCGTCCCTGAGATCGTAGGTTTGATCCCCAGCTGTACACCAAGTCACATTATTTCTATGTGCGCATTTAACATTCACTCGAAATAAAACATCGTAAGGAAATGTTGCCTTAGACTCAAAAAGTTAACGGCATGTGTCAGGCACAGCAGCCTGATCACCTACTTGCCTGTTACATTGACAATCATGAAACAAATACAGATATCTGAGGCCCAGACCTAAAAAGGTTCTAGCGCCACAGATTTATTTATTTATAGTGCCTTCAGAGACTTTTCCTAGTGACTTAAAAGTTCAATTTAATTTATGTTTATGACTTTATATTATTAATTAACAGAGGGTTACCGCGGCTAATAAATAACTTAAGGTTAAGCAACATAAAAAAATGTATTCTTGTCGCGACAAGACTGCTATTGTTACATTTAAACAAAGGTGATTTTCAAATGTAATATACCATGGGCCGTGGGGTTCAAGTGCACAGGCGCCAATTAAAGATTTAAGTTGGTGCCTGGTAGATAGTACCGGTGACTGGTAGCGGATACTTTTCTCGCTCAACGAATGAGTATCGCAATACAGCGAAGGATGTTTTAATTTCTAATGATTTTTATTATTACATGTAGATTAATAAAATTGTATTTACTACATATCTGATTGTTATGTTTAGGTTTTAATAAACGAAATTTTCTTGAAAATATAAATAAAACGCGTGTGAATACACTGTAACTATTAGATTGTCTAATCTGTAAAAAAAGGGTGCGTGTACTTATGTACGCGCGTAAGAAGTTATACTTCTTTGGCTTTCTTTAATTTTTTTAAATATTAAATAATTAATAACAAATATTTAACGTGAATAATTTAATAATATTTAGTATATTATTCAATTATTAATTAATATTAATAATAATAATTATTATTATTTATTATTTTATTAGATTATTCATTCAATTTAATAACTACGTATGTTTCATAACCTTTTAATTAAGTAACAATAGGTCTTTGTGAAAAAGAATTGCTAAATTTCTTTGAAAAAATAATTAAAACTCCTTTATTTGTTTAAAAGGTAAATGTTATTATGTTCATTCAAAATTCTTGGCATAGCTACTAACTTCACGCATATTCTATTTCTTTTTACTTGTAGATTGTCTTATTCCCATCTCGCTCGCGCACGCTATAATCACACTGACAACTTTGTGTCTCAGGTGCGCGCGCATCGTAAAATTTCACTCTCACCAATTTTTCATAACGCGCCTAAAGAAGTATAACTTCAAAAATCTTATATCGCATTATAGTCAAGAAATGTTTAGTTAAATTGTCAAAAATCTAAAATATTTAACTCACCAAAAGCAAGAAGTATGCTGTCACCAAATTATCTGGCGACCTTGGGTTCCTGTCAAACCTGTCATACAGAGACTGAACCGTGAACTGTAAAAAAATTGTATCCAATTAATTTCCTTAAGTTTTTTCCTGGGGGTAAGGTAACAAATAAATAGGAGAATGATTCAATCATATACCATGGTAAAGATAATATAAGTTTGTAGCTTATAAATCACTGCGATAAAGATATATAGGCATTTTTAGCCACTGGGCCTATGGGCCAGAACCTCCTTTTAGGTTATTAGAACAGTACCATCACATCACAAGCATTTATTTAAAACAAAACCCTTAAGGTCAGTACTCACATACGGTATTACTCGATCGAGCTAAACTGTCGAGTAAAACCCATGGCATGGGCTTTCGTCCACACATTGAGCATTGATCTATCGAGTGAGGCTCGCCGTTCAGTATTCACCGAACCGTTCGAGCCAAAGGATGTCTGTGCAACAAAGGAGACGGTGGCTGTATTTAGCAAGTCTTACAGTGCTTTATAAGAAAATCAAAGAAAATGAAAAGAAAAAACGTTAAGCACAGCTTGTAATTTATCATAACATTCATTTCTTTTATTTCTGTGGGAGTAATCTTTGGACTTGACATTCCATAAACACTCACACTGTCTATATGTGTTGATAAAGTCTTCTATAGCGCTTTTGCAATAAACTCGCAAATCCATTTCTCTTAAAAACACGTGTTTCTATCACGAAAAACAATACCAGACTGACGCTCGCCTCGCGCCACTCGCAGTCACGTACACACGTTCGAGTCAAGATTGACGGCTCGCTTCGAGTAGGTTCGAAGGAAATTACTTTCATTTAATACCATCGAGCCGGCTCGGTGCGAGCCTTTGAGCTGTGAGTTTTGCGGTCCACACGTTGATTTTTACTCGACTTCGAGTAAAACTATCGAGTAATACCGTATGTGAGTACTGACCTTTAGACAACACAATAAGCCAAAACAGATTACATAGATAAACCATATATATGAAACAGAAAGCTCGTATAATAGACAAAAATATATTTAAAAAAAACTGAAATTTAACATTTGAAACAGCAAATAATACTTAATATTTCAAATTACTGCTTAAACAAAATCAAAATCTTCCCGCCTCTTCAAACATTTCCTCACATTTGTGGTGAGTTGGAAAATATCGATATTCTCATAATTGGTGTCATATATAAAACCCGATAAAATTGGCGAATTATGCAGGTTATTCGAGTTTGACGAGGCACATGGAACAATTTTGTGTATCTTGTCGCATGAGGAGGGATTTTAAGAGAAATTGACGACAGCAAATAGGGGCTATCTTTCCCTACTGTCTAGACATAATTTTGATGTTTATATAATTTATTTTAATTTTTATTTCTTTCCATAGACACGTTATTAAGAAAATTACGACTGACACAGGAAACAAAAGTCAAAAACGATATAAAACCAATTATTTATATGGAATCGAACCCGGTATACCAGGCTCAATAAACAACGATTAAAATCTAGTATATAGGCAAGCAACTCACAAAGGTCCGGGTAGACGCCGCATCATTATGCTGCATAGGGAATTCGGCTGGATTGATCCCACTTGAAAAAAGATAAATAATAACCAATTTAAAAGAAATTATGCGTGTATTTAAAGTACGAAATGGCTGGGCCGATTTTGATTAAATTTTGACAAGCATGGTACTATATTCCTAGTCTCAATAGATAATAGAGTATAGAACATCACTGTACAGATATCGTTTTTATAGATAATAGAGTATAGAACACTTACCTTCTCAAATGCAGGGCACGGCGGGTGTGTCTGCTTTCACAAGGCGTCGCCTGATCATACACGATGTTTGAAATCGAGATGCGCCTTGGTGAGTCAGGTGAATCTAAAATTTTTAAACAACCACCTGATGTCAAATAACTTAAGTCTCTCGAGTGCGTAGCCGGCATATAATCGGCACAGTGTTAACTGGCTTATTAAATCTATTGTTTAATTTTGTGTACTTGTAATTGTAAATGTAGTTAGTTTCAGTTGTTTAAAATAATGCATTTCTTGATAGCAATATTAAGGCGGTATTGGAAAATATGACCGACATAACATGTATTACTAACGAACCACACAAAATAATAATAATAATCAAAAAATTATGGAAAAAAAGGAACAAGGTACATTTTAAGTGTGTAATGTGTGTGTGTTGAGGTTGTAACTCGCCCTGGCTCAGCTTAATGCTGAGGAGCAGACTGTTCCACTGGTCATTCTGCCAGAGACCACGGCAGTTAGTTTGCGCCTCAGACGCAAAAAAAGAAAAATAATGTAATAATAATAATAATAATAATAGTAAAAAAATTAATCGTGTAAGTAAAGTGTTAAGTATATTATAGTAAATAAAATTTTTTTTTTTTATTATTAATTAAAAAATGTCTAAAATAAAACCTGCAGCTGGCCGTCTTGGCGGCTGAACATTTTCTGGTCTAGGACCCGGCTCGGTCGCATTCTGATCGGTATTATGCCAGTTGGCACCTGTTACTTCGTTTCTTATAACAGAAGATAGGATTTGCTGTATTAAATCCGATGGCACACTACCAATCATAGGTGATTGCGCTGTAAATAGAATTGTATTGTAAATATATTTTATTTATTTTGATATATTTACAAGATATTTCTTTACTCAGTACCTATAATATCTTCACAAAATTTAAACTGGGCTGACTAAAAACTATTAAGAAACAGTCGAGCCTCGATAATTTTAATCTCGCAAGTTAATTATAGTTTGACAAAAATTCGTGATTTTCTATTTCTATATTATTTTTAAGTATTAACAATTGAAAATAAAATTCACAAATTTTAATGCATGATAAACACTTCAAATTATCGCATGATGTCGAGCAATATACCTACTATTCCTTTAACTTCAAATTACCGAGGGGACCAATTAACATTGATTTTATTCAATTTATCGACTATTTTTCAAGTGACAAATTATCGACTAAATATGTTTTAGAATATTTGCAGTGACATTAGGTAATGTTGTATGAAACATTACTGAGAACGTTATATTTATTAATTTATTTAGAATTCGTTACACTAATAAAAAAACAAATAATACATAAAAATTATAAGGGAAGCAACGGGCGGCCATATCGCTAACAAGCGATCTCTTCCAGGCAACCATAATAAGGAAAAAAAAACTAAAAACAGAAATGTGATGAGTAAAGTGCCAATGTGTTATAAAAATGAATACTTAGTAGTTATCTATCCACCCATCGCCATTCACACATCCGCCATCAAACATTGAAGTAAATATTTCATCTAGTTATATAATTTTTCATTTATAGCCACCATAGCAACAGCCCACTGTTCTGTTTCCATTTTAGATCAAACAATGAAAACAAGGTTGATGTCATCATTCTTATTCTTAACTACATCCAGTCAGTATGACAGTGTATGGTATAATGGCTTACAAAAAATTGTTTAAGGCCGCTCTGTAATCCTAAAGGTCGAGAAGGCTACGTATGACTATCTCATGTCAGATACAATGGTGCCTCGATGTACGAGTGCCCTAATATACGAGTGTTTTGATATACTAAGAAAATAAATCAAAGCGTGAAATCATATTATTATTCAAATCCCTTAACAAAAACAACTGAGAATGTATTTGGGTGCTGGAACGACATTAATGGCATTTCAATTAAAGGAAAATTACTTTGAGATTCGAGCATGCATACGGACCGAGTTAAACTCGTATGTCGAGGTACCACTGTACATATTGAAATACGGGTGTCATAAATATTGACTCGGCTAAGAGCCCTAAGAATTTAAACCCAACCAACAAAGGAATTGCCGTAGAATTCACCTGACCGATAACAAATTACAGATATAATTAGGCTTGACTAGGATCGAACTCACGTCACCGACACTACAACATCGTGTGTTATATACTGTCAATTGTGAAGAATTTTACCACAGAATAGGAAGGGAAAAACCAATTGACTACAAATTAATAGGCTTATATTACTACCTTTTCACCCGTTAATTCAGTAGATGTTATATGCAATATCTATGTCGCAGTAAAGTAGTTAAATCAGAGAGTTAATTGAATCTCTAGACAGTTAATTAGAGATCGATATTCAATCAAGTCGCTAAAGTTCCGACAGACAAGTGAATGAACGAAACGTTTAACGAGTTTCCCAAACGTTCCTAGGCAACAAGACGCATTTCAACTTTGGTAGGTGACCCAGATATTTGATTGGAAAAAAGTATATATTCATATATTTTCCTATATATATTGTCGATTATATTTTCCTGAATAATAATTACAATAAAACAAAACACGGAATTTAACTACTTTACTGCTACATATATATTCTGTTCACTTCATACTTTGAAATGAATATTTTTTTATGTCATCGTTGTATGTTATGTTTGCTAGTGCTTGTCACATTAAATATTATATTTTATTTTGTACCAATATATCAGTGTGCCGAGCGTTGGCAAGCTTTTAAAAATAAAATAAATGATTCAAAATAAAATTATTCATAAAGCATGTTTTTTAAATTCTGTATACACATGACAATAGAAAAATACATACAAAGGTGAAATTAAATTTCAAGGTACAGATAATATTGGTACAAAAACACTAATGCCACTAAAAACTAATTGAACTTACCGTTTTGTACTATTCCTGTCAAATTTGGTGGGTGCCCAAGAAAGTCCTGCAAATTACCACTGCCTAATGGCGAATCATCCAGCTCCATTCCGAAGTCCAGCGCAGCTGCAGGGTTCCTCAAACCTGGTTGCATAGCGCCTGTAAATAAATACTCCATGTACTGCATGTAATTTAAATGTCAAGTATTTTAAAAATTCGACTTTCAAAAGTCCCGCAAAGTTCACAAATTTTAACCACCATTGTTTTAAGTAATTACACTATTTCAAATAAAAACCACTTATTATATATTTAAGCATTTCTGTAACACATTGGACGTTTAAGAATATTAATGGGTTTTCGTGATCATTTGTTCTATCATTCATTCTAATAGGCAGGGAGGCGATCGGTCATCTGTGCGTAGAATTTTTGGGTCTGGATATTTTCCACACCGTACGAACGAAATAGAAAGAAAAATACATTGATTCACAGCCGCGATTCGAATCTCACGTTTGTACGCTCAAGCGATTAGGCCAACCCTTTCCCCAATACATTTAAAATAAAATTATAATAAAAAACGCCACAGTTAATTTACTACGTAACTGTTAGTAAATAATTAAATGTTTTTGTAAATGCTTTCAAAATTATAACTAATATATATAACTGTTCGGTGATCAATAAAAAGTGACAATGTGTACTATGCAATTATCTTTAAATAAAAGTTATTTAATTTAGAATTCATCTTTCAACTTTATATTAAGATATACTAAGTATTTGTATTGTATATTTTTCCTAATAGAACGGCATATTGGATACTTCTTATAGAAATCTTAATATCTTTTGTTATTTTTTTTGACAATCACCTTTTGTTTTAGACAATTTAAATATTTTGTTCAGTCACTACCGATGTAAAAACAGGCAGATATATTTACGTAGTCGGTCCCAAAGTTCTGTCATAAATGGAAATAATGATAAAAACAAAAGTACTGATCAGTTTGTAATGAGTGATATATCAATTCTTAGTACATTAATTAAGGAATAAAAAAGCATAAAAATATTCGAAATAACCTCCCTCATTTTTAATACAGGCCCTTAAGCGTCGCGGCCAGTCGTCTATCGCAGCACGCACCATATTCGTGTCGATTTCAGTCACTGGTTTTTATAAAGATGACTTCAGATTCTCCAAATTTTCATGAGGTTTATCACAGACCTTCCTCTCTAAGCCCTGTCATAATTTCTGGTCCAAAGGATTAAGGTCCGGACTGGAGGAAGGCCAATCCTCATGTCTAATTAAGACGATGTTTTGACGCTCAAACCAGGCTTTAGTGGTCTTGGCTTTGTATGCAGACGCAGAGTCCTGCTGGAACACGAAGTGATGTCCCGCAAATAGGGTGCTGGACATGTCTTTGACAAGGCGATACAAAACCGTCTCTTGGTACACTGTAGCACTGGTTTTGACCCCCTTTTCGAAAAAATTAACCTCAGTTAGCCCGTAATAGGACACTCCCAACCAAACCATTACTGATGATGGATGATGTCCATGTTGCACCCTTGGAACTTTATTTTCAACTTCTTCAGAACTCATAGCGTACACTGTATAATTCTGTTTATTGTACTTCTCTTCAATATCGAAAAATTTTTCGTCCGTAAAGAGGATATCACGGTGTCGGTTTTTCGCGTACCGCTTAAACAACACCCGCGATCTCTTAAGCCTTATTGCTTTTAGACGAGCATTAAGTAAGTGCCCACTCTTTTTTTGTATGCTCGTAGACCAAGATCTTCATTTAAAACCTTTTTTACTGTTTTCCTACTGACACCCATCTGCAAATCCATCAACTTCTGTTTTCGGACAGGATTTCTTACTATCCGCGCCTTGATAGCTTTGCTTACTGCTGGTGTTCTTGTGGAGCGTGGCCAGCCAGTTATTTTCTTGTCCTCAACACTGGAGACTTCAAGGTACCTATCAATAGTACCGTACACAAACCTAAGCGTTATATTCAAATTTTTGAGCAACTTGAAAATGGTACTCGGCGAGTGTCCACAGCGGTGCAACGCAATAACAACTATTCGGTTTACTTTCAATGTCCACTCCATCGTGAAAAATTACGGAAAGTTATTGTTTTTTGTTTTAAAACAATAATCAAACATTCCAAAATAGAATGCAATAATTTTTTTATAAAATCCTGCTCGAAATGTAGAAATAATGTGCTAGTGACAGAACTTTGGGACCAACTACGTAATTACAGCGCGAACTTAAATTTTATTCATTTTCAGAATCCGTTCCGATAATACGCAAACAAATGACTTCTATAGAAAAAAACAAAAGAAAATTGATTTATGATTATATCTAATGTCTGGCTCGATTTCTATTTATTTTTCTTTTCTAGGAGATTGTATCACATTACCAGTATTTATTGAACAGCCCCCGTATAATTACAATACATATTTAATTTTATAATTTATAAATAAACATAACAGTTAGAGCTTGTCCGCACCATCAATATCATTGTCAAAGTCCGTAACCAAGACTGACGAAAAAATATTGCTAATAAACGCCAATCCATACATCCGAGAGCAGACGGGGGTCGGGTCAGTGAAGTAATGTTTTATATTGGTATTGAACAAGATATTTGGGTTATGTCTGCCGACCTTCAGTAATTGGAGACATCACAATAGAAATAATAACAAAAGTACTACACCCGGTTTTTTAATTCCGTAGAATTCTGACAGCTATCATTTTTTGACATGTCAGAGATTACAAACCTTTTTGGCCGGGCACATTTTTCAATTTCAATACGAGTCTAAACATCTTACTCGATACAAACATTTTATTTATCAGTGAATGTATCCATTTTATTAAGTGCATGCTCCACATAAAAAGTGGTTTTACGGCGACTGATAATTACCTACGTCCCCTTCATCACAAACAGTAAAAAACGCACAAGTAATGATAACATTTTACTTTCTTTAAAAGGTTTACTAAACCTGGAATTAGTAGGCAGTCATGCCAAGTTAAGAATAAAATAAAGTAATTAATGTTAACTCGGTATATTGTTCGTGATATTGAAATATTTATTATTTTAATATTAGGTCACAGAGTAAGTAAATATTAAGATTTAACTGTTTGTAGGTAAAACATAAAAAAAATACGTAGCATTTTATTTTAGTGCCCTCAAATGGGTCAAATCTGTCCATTTTTCGGTGGAGAACTTTTTTAGTAGCAACACTTATGAAATGTCAAAATTCTACTGAATGAAAAATCAGAGTATAGAAGAAAATTAAAATAATTTAAGGATGTGTTCAGTCCTTATGTATATCAATCATTAAGGACCATAGATATTTAAATCATCATTTATTATTGATATGACATTAGCCAACAGATACAACAACAAGTAATACAAATAAAATAAATATCTAAATAATTCCATCCATGACATTATCACACGAAATCCCCAGCCTCTATAAAATCTAAAAGTCATAATTACGTCTAGTTATACCCCAGCGTTAGTAAAACAAACCTCGGTCATTTTACATACGCTAATTAAATATTGTCTACGTACAAACTGCGACATGCAATGTTATACACGACTACAAGACAGTTGAAAAATAAATGCCCATGCGCGCCCCGTTTGATTCCCATTTTAAGCCCAATACTTCTTACCAGAATGTTGAGGTCGAGCATCGGGGTAATTCGGGTACCCTAAATCTCGTCGAACTCGAATGCTAGGAGTCATAGATGGTAAGGGTATACATGGAAAAGCTGCGTCAAGATTATAAAGATTTTCGAACTCCCTAGTCGCCTGTTCAACATGCCGTTCAATATCTACAACAAAACCGTACCGTACCCTACATTTTTTATATCATTACTGACGGACTATTAAGGCCGGGAAAATATAAAATGTTTTATAATACAGAATCTTGACTGAAATCGGCAAATTTTTAATTTAATTCATGTTAATTTATTTCGACCGTTGAACTTTCCAGGGAGTTCTAGTAATAATGACTATTTTACCATTCAAAATGAGTGAATAAAATTAAATGTGAGGAAATATTTCGTCATGATCGTAGAACAATGTCGGATTTGAAAAATCCAAAATCCACTTTTTATCATATTTGGATACTACATTGACTAAATATTACGGCTACATTAAAAAAATCCATGTGTTTCAAATTTCAAATTAATCAGTCGGTAAAGTGACGGATTTGATAGACGCTCATTGATTTTTTTAGAAAACTAATTTAATTTTATTATTTTTGTTTTGTTTCAAAAGAAACTCTATTGTTTGATTGTATGCCAATTTTCATAATAACAGAATATGGATTTAAAAAGTTATGACAAAAACTAATATGATTATATTATTTCGAAATGGTTGCCCTGTAAAGTTTACTATTTGTCAGATCCGTCACTATTCTACGACTATGACGATTTCTTAATTTTTAAATAAAAGCAAAGCAAATTGCGCTGAATAGAAAAGCTAAGTGCATAACACAGCGTTATACATAGGCCGAGAACAAACACACAAACGCCATTGCATACATACTTAGCATCCTCTGTTCGAGACTCCTGAGGTATTCTTGTGAGGTGGCGTAGGACGCGTCCTGGGCCATCATTTCATCCGCGTTCAAATCTTCCATATCTACGTCGGGCGGAGGATTGCCCGCATTTCTCTGAGCCATCGTAGGTTCACTGGTCTCTATTTGTAACTGGATCATAATGGGATCAATTTCCACATTAAACGGCTCGGTAATATTGCCGTCGATGTTCCCAGTGCGACCGGAATGCGTGTCGAGGGTGGCCGTCTGACCCTGTATTGACAAATATACATTTTTATGTTTTCAGTTCAAAGACACATAAATTGTGAATATATAAATAAGTAAGGGAACTACCGAGAGACCCAAGGTAACAGACGGAGATCTGTGGGTAGGATCTGAGGTTCAAGGTGGTGGGATTTTCTCAAAGCTATCGGGCAGGCTCGCCACTAGTATATGGGCTGTACTCCGATTTTTCATTCCATACAATTCTGACAGCTATCATTTTTTGACATGTCAGAGATGGTAAACCTTTTTAGCCGGGCACATTTTTCAATGTCAATACCAGTCTGAACTGAGACTATACAATATACATACATTTTATTTGTTATTGAATGTATCCATTTTATTAAGTGCGGTGCTCCACATTAAAAACGGCGAGTGATGATAATTACTTAATTAGTGTTCAATTAGTAAATTTAACTCAAAATTCAAAGTCTAATAACACTGTTTTGACTAATGAGATCAAATCATCTCTATGTGTGTAAAAGAAATTTGATCGAACGTGCACGTGTAAAAAGCTTGATTTAGATTTTATGTTTAGGTATTTTATTAGTGTGCTACTCTCTTCCCTTAGGTCCTAGGTTTGAACACTGGCTTTGCGTCAATGGGCTATCTAACGTACGTATTTAATACTCGCTCGTAGGTTGAAGGAATAGATTGTGAGGAAACTGACTTGCCTTAGACCCAAACAGTCAACGGCGTCTGACAGGCACAGAAGGCTGATCTCCTATTAGCCACAAAACAAATCTGAGGCCCAGATTCAAAAGGTTTTTTATTTTGTAAATAAGATATATATAAACTTTTTATTTATCTTTTTGACATACAAATTGATTTCACGACATATTTTTTGTTTAAAATAAAAACAGTTTTGCTTAAAAATAGAATATACAATATGCTTGGTTTTGTACATTAACACTTGCACATATGGTGAAGAATGAAGCTCCTTAACATCAATATGTATCAGGCACTGAAGATCATATACTTGTCATTCTTCTTTTACAGTCGGTTAAAGATAAATATAAAAGATCACGCTCCCATATACGTTTATTAGAAGACTATGGCACAAGACAGTTGTGTCCATATAAATATATAACATAAGTATTTTGAATATAATAAATACATATTAAGTGTGTTTACCTGACGTAAGAACGCTTCTGAAGCCAGCTGTGTACCATGAGGTGATTCCAGCATAGCAATATCACTTAGCAAATGAAACGCGTGCGCCAAATTATGAAACACTCCATTGATCTGCTCGGAGTAGCGCATTCTTGCCTGGATGCTTCTCTCGTCGCGGGGCCCCTTTAAAAACATAATAAAATACAAACATTTTAAAAATATATTAATCTTTAAGTACTGTTTCATACCTTAAAATTTACGCTAATTTGAAAAAATGAGTACTTTAATTAAAACGGGACATCTCAGTGCAGTTGGAACATTTAGGGAGACATTCAGAAGCGATACATGTCACTAAAGACGTGCACTTTATTTGTGTCAAAATCCATTTTGGACATACGAGTCAGCCGTTTCTGAATCTACCCAGATTTTATGAAGAGGGTAGCATGTTATATGTACCATATTTAGTGTAATTCAATAGTAATAAAATGTCGTAGTATTAGTAAACTTTTACTTAGCATTGTATTCAAATAAACCCGTTTTCGGATATATCAATTTTCAATTTTATGATTATTCCGTTGATGTATTTTTTAGATTGTTTATTCGGCTGCAAAACCACTATTTTTATCGATTAAATTATCAAATAAATACTTACAATGGTGTCACGAAAGTCATTAATGAGGCCTATGTAATTTTCTCTATGTGATTCAAAAATTCTATCCAGCCTATGAACCTCAGCAATCAATCGGGCGAATTCGTCCACAGGGTTATCCGCCACAGGCCTAAAACAAACATATATTGTCAAAGATTGTTCTTAATTAACAAAACAAAGGGCTAATTTTGCAAGCATATGTGTAATGAGTTTCGCGTGTTAAAATCATAAGAAACCACACCAAGATTGAAATGTGCTGGTCATATAATAAGAGGCATAAAAATGTGGAACAAAAAGATCATATATTGGTACCCAAGAAATAAGAGAAGAAAACGAGGTAGACAGTTTCGAAGGTGGGACGAAATAAAATCCGTAACTGGGAAAATATGGACAAGGAAAGCTCAGAACAGAGCAGAGGCCAATGGAAAGAAATGAAGGAGGCCTTTGCCAAAGTTGGGCAAACAGATGGGTTGTCTGTGTCACCGACTCACAAGAAACACTAGTTTAAGATTAAAACTATGTAAAATTTATGTCTGAATAAAGGCTTATATTATTATTATGTATAATGAAACAATGGCATATTTCACTTGTTATCACTGAATCAGCCCTGAAACCCTTATTTGTGTTTCAACTACCAATGGGTAAAGTCCACTAATATACTGACCAATGACTTTCTTAGTTTATATATTGAAAAAGTTGTAAGTAGCTCAAACAAACACAATTGTTGTTTGATCTAAATCTATTTAGTTGAAAATTATCAAGAGAAAACTGATAATTATCGGAAGAAACTTTCAGTTCAAATGGGTTCTCATTCTAACATAAGTTACTATAATATTATACTAATTAATTCTAATTTTTATATTCTTGATAAGAGAAAGAAATAATAAAAATCTAACATGGGCTTACATATAGTAATGTCACAATACAATTAAACCGTTATAACTCTATATAAATAAGTGTACATTTAAAGTCAGTAAAGAATTCTAAATAGTAAAGGAAGTCTTTAACTTACTGTGGACTATCCTCAATATCGGAACCCGAGTCCTGGAAGTAAAATATAATTGTATTAATAATAAATAAGTACTCATTCTACTACTATAGTAGAAATATACTGTATTAAAACTTATAAACCTGTTTGTAAAACTGTCAGTGTTAATTAAATTGTTTTTCATTCTCATATTAGTATAATATATTAATCAATTGTTTCGCATTTGACATTATACAAAAAGTATTTTTAAAGATAAAAAAATCTAAAATTAATGTTTTTATATATTATATTCTTTTCCTCAATTATATTGTTGGAGGTATTAAGTCACATAATACATATGTATTATCATAAGCAAAATAGAATCTGTAACTAGTATGATTAAGTACTACTTATTTAGAAATTTAAAAACAACTTGTCATTGCATTATCCAATTGATATATTTTTTAAATTATATCAAAAACTTCTCAAAATAAACAAAAACCCCATCAATAACAGAAATGATACATTTACAGGTAACATTGTATTTATATTGAATCTAATAAAAATTATAGTTTCCCCTTTATTGGATGAAAAAACGAAGTATAAAATAATTTTAAACTAGTAGAAAATAATTGCTTCCTATATTAAGATACATCAATGGTGGCTTATGGCCAGTGTTTTTCAAAATTCTACTAACTTTGGTAGTATTTATATATAAAAGCATATCAGTTCATATGAGCAATGTGAACATAATTGATAGATTTCTTAAAAGCATTAGTGAGCGAGTGAGCCATTATTATTACATTTTTATGTGCCTTCACTGTTTTTGCCTAAATAAGGACAGATTAACACAAAGGCCACAAACACTTACTAGTTCCAGTAATCTTGTTCTTAATTCACAGACAATTGTGTTGAGGATCCTCAAGCGTATTGCAGTAGGTGACATAGACCCTTGTTCTTCATGTGTAACGAAAACCAAGCTTGATTGGCCCTAGATATACAAAAAAGAAAACATAAAGTCCATGCAACAAGTTTTTTAAATTTTTTAAGATAATGTTAATGTTAATGTCATTTATACTAGTTATAATTATAATGCAATTATATTTCAAAAGGTGAGGTCTAAATAGTAAGCAAGTTATTTATAACCAACATTTAATATTTATATAGTCAACAACTCATTAAAACAACTGCATTATACACTTGCATGTATTAAAGTATAAATACGCATTTATATAAAAAGTTCTTATAACAAGACATTTTTTTTTAATAGAGCGCATTGTGCAAACAGTCTTCTAACTCTGAGCAGATGAGTTGTAGGATGATTTGCGGGTGGAGATATTCCTCATTAGGAATATCTACCATTATAATATTAGCTCAGTCAATGCTGCTGAGCTCCAGGGTTCTTCGTCTTTTGAGATGGTTTATATACTCCGATAGGGTGAGTTGAACATATTTAACATGTCATAAAAATATATATACAGTATACACATTTGTAAAAAAGGTTGAACAGGTGATATAATTTTGTTTATTATATACAAAAACCTTAAAATTTTAATCGCTTAGCTGTATACTTATCAACTTACATACTTTAATCCAAACACAAAATCAAAATACCTTTCCTCTTAATAATAGTAATTAACGCAAGCTTTTTTTGTAATAGTCTCAAACATACTAGCTCAAGTAGTAAAAATTGTTTTTTATTTTCAAACTGACACACAAGTGATAACTTAGAAAAATCATAACTATTTGAGCATGTTTATATTTATGATCAATAGTAGTAATCGCACCAAGTCTAGACGCAGGTTCACAAGAAACACAAAATTATTGAAAGATTAGTTGTATACATTAGTATAATATATTTATCGATATCAGATGTATACTATAAATATTTACAATCTAAGAGAACCAAAATGATGATTTAGATACAAATATTTGAATATTTCAAGTATTAAGACAGACTATAAATCATATCAAGTCTGCAGCGCAAAGCTAGTATAGTAGAATAATAACAGAAAACTTACAGCTGGCACTTGATTGGGAGCATTGTCACTTTCAGACAGATCTGGTTCTGGTTCGCTTCCTGCAGGCAATGGTGGTGGTCTAGTAACCATATGTACCACATGGTTATCGCTAATATCTGAAAATAATTATGATATATCAAATTATTTACTACATATTACTATGTCTAACTCTTATAAGGTTATTACAATTCAATATGTATTTGAATACATACTCAAATTATAAACTGTGAACTTAGCTTGTATTTACTTTGTCAAATGATAAAATAATATATATGTATATATATATAATAAGCTACTTACTGCAATCGGATATTGTCTGAGTGTCATCCAGAACATGTCCACAAAAAATCAGCCGTTGTTGTGCGGGTTCAATGCCCAATCGGCAATGAAGAAACTGTTTTAGTTCTAATATTGTGCACTGTAAATGTAAAGTCATATTTACAATATAACAACAAAATATGTAATATCTATGTAGACAACATTATTGTGAAGAAAAAAAAAGAACTATTTTATGAGTTTATGATATTAATATTAATTTTGTACATTGTATGGCCAGTTATAAGTCTTTCAATTATAACAATAATATACATTACATGTTCCAATCCTAAGATAAAATCTCATCAAACAAAATACTTTATACCCTGATCTATTTAAGTGTCAAAGGTAAGATTTTTCAGATTTTTTTACTATTATTGTATATTTATGCTGTTTTACTAAAATAGAATAAGCTGTCAACAATGGAATCCACAATGAATATGAAAAATATGATCAAATCTTTGAGATTCGTGGTCAGAGACAAGCGATCTCACAAAATTATTAAGTTATTGGGTGGGTCACCTGCAATATATTGATTTTTACACAAAGAAAATGTAACGGTCATTTGAATTGCGCCTTGAATCATGAAATTATATTTATCTTAATCGTAATAGCAGTTTACACAGAAGACCTCGATTCCTCATTAAATTTGGTACTCACTTACTACCTTCGTTTTTAGTAAAGTGTGAAAATATATTTTAGACCTTTAATTTGATGTTGTAGATGTAGATGTAGTGCAACTAATGTGTATAGTACGTACCTGATCATCGATCTGTATATCTTCATCGCTTCCTTGTAACCTTCTTATTTTCACAATAATTATCATTGTGATATCTGATGAGAAGATTTAGCCTGCAACAAAAAACAAAATGGAGACTAGTCTAACATTGAAAGCACGTTGCTTTGGAAATCATTACAAAATAATATTAACTGAGAAAGGATTTCCATACAATTAATAATGTTTGAAAAGAAAATGTAAAATTAAATTGCCATATTACCAACTAAAAGAGATTAGCAATTAGAAATATCAAATCGCCTCCCCTGAACAAAAACTTGAAATGGCAAGTAGAAAAACTTAAGTCAGTCATCGGCGGGAAACCGGAAATGTGACAACTGACATTACAGTTATGCCATTAACTATCGAACACAAAACCTGCTGACCATAGAATATAAATAAAGATTAAAAACCAAGTGAAAGTATAAATTGTAAGACTTATGGGTGAAAAAAGCGCGGGAAACTTCGTTCATGGTAGAGTCTGGCTAATGAAAGAAGATAATTGAATTAATTATTTGAAAACTTTCGGATGGCAACACAGAATGTCATTGAATTCCTTAGGTTAGTATGATTTATTGTCTTGATACTTTAAACAATTACTCATTTTTATATTTTATATTATATATTTTTTCCGAATAGCCTAAACTTTGATTTATTGATTTTTTGGATTCTGATTTTGATTATTCCAAATAAAATTGTGTTTTATAATAAATATAGTTTTAGTTTTCCATGCAATACTAGTCATTTTAAGTATCAATAGTTAAAGACTAAATTCGTATAGTATTTAATTTCATAGAAATACAGTTACTATTAATGCATAAAATAAAATCAAGTATCAAGTAAGTTTAATCCACAAAATATATCAAACTTTTAGGGATACCATACTAATTTTTTTTTAATTTGCCGCGCTTTTTCGTTATCTTCTTTCATTAGCCAGACTCTAGACGTTTTTTTTTTTTCACGGTGGTGACTACTACTACTAACTTTTACTGGTTAAAACGCAGACGATTAGCTGGTAGTTTTAATTTTTGTATTATATGTAATCTTTATATCATATTAGTGTATAGTGTCATCGTGTAGTCGGTAAGGTTTTGTAATTACTGTAATTTTTTTTTTTATGTAATAGGAGGCAAACGGGCAGGAGGCTCACCTGATGTTAAGTGATACCGCCGCCCAAGGACATAGGATCATAGACTGGCCGAAAGCGACTATCAACCTACGTATATTAAAGCGTGATAAAAGTGTTAAAACATTCCTTCGTTTGCTTTTCTAGTGCGGTGTCTATGCTAGTTCTTATGCTAAGGCAACATTCATCATTTCGGAAGCTAAGTCTTGTTGCAATTTTCATTTTTAGTTTACACATATTGTGATATTTTGAAAAAAAAACTAAAAAGTATATTTGGTATTATATTACCAAGATAATTAAATGTATCATACAATAATTTAATTATAAGAGATATAACAGTAAAATCACTTTGCTTCTGACTATTAATAATAGTTGTTATACTTACCTACTTAAGTAATTAATAATGTATACGATGGCCATCAGTTACCGCTTTTGTAATTTGTTTGACGTTTAGAAAATGATTTAGTTGTAATAACTATTCATTAACAGACAAATCTGTTTCATTTAAGCAAATTGCACGTCAAGATTATTATACAGGGGATTGTTAGATTTATTAGTAGTACTGTAAATACATTTTTTATCTAATATATAAAATTCTCGTGTTTGTAGTTACACTCCTCCGAAACGGCTTGACCGATTCTCATGACATTTTGTGTGAATATTGGGTATGTCTGAGAATCGGAGAAAATCTATTTTTCATCCCCCTAAATGTTAAGGGTAGTCCACCCCTAAATATTTTATTTTTATGATATAGTATTAAAAAATACATAGGTACATCCCCTAATTTTGACCCCTCTACGATCAACCCCTATGTTTTACTATAAATGATATACATGGCAAAACGACGTTTGGCAGGTCAGCTAGTAATATATAAAATATGTATTTACAGTATATAACTATAGATTATGTACATATTTGCCATTTTCAGCTCATTTATAAACTGTAGGTAATTATTAAAAATTAAAAAGAAAGTTACCTCAATATAATGTAAGATTTCCTAAAATTTTGTATAATTGTAGCTCATAATCTGCAGTTTGTTTAATTAATTATATGTATTGTATTATTATATAATTTTGTAGTCAGTGGTATTTAGTTAAAAAGGAGTTTATTCAGGCATAGATTCTGAAAAGGCAAGGTGATCAATCTTAGCTATAAAATTACTGTTTCGCCTAGAATCTAACCCCGAAAGGGTTTAGCCTATCTCTAAAGTATATGTATTCAATCCAACATATTTTCTTGAGATCCTCCCTGAGAGAATTAAAAGTATCTACCTTGGGGTCAATGTCTAGTTCACTTGTCTTCCCCACACAATTGATAATTGGAGGGGGAGTCGGGCCTTGGAGTAAGTATCGACATCCGTATTTGCCCCATCGGTTATCTAGATTAAATAAAACTTGACCCCAAACATATGTAACACGATCTAAAATCGAGGTATGTAGAGAGGATATTTTTCTTCAAAGCTAACAAAAGTGTTAAGTGCAATTATCTTTTGTGCCCTCCCAAACCGGGACGCCATGGCGACGTAGCCAGCGACGTTACCATGGCTACGACTTGCGTCTCTGAGTCGCCAAATCGCGTCGCCAATGCATTCAGTTCTGTCTCGACTCAAAAATCAAAATCAAAAATAAATTTTAATAAAATGATCAATAAAATAATTATTATTATTTTATTTAATCATCGTAAATCAAATTTTAAAATCATTATTATGTAAAATATTAATAATTAGGAGACAAGGAGCCTTACTAACAATTTCTTTCAGGATACCTAAGTAAAAAACATAATTAAGAGACTATGAAAAAGCAAAAAAAGTGCTATAGTGTGCTAATTCGCCAGGCAGCCAACGTCGCCAGTCGCCGCCTGCGGAGCGGTCGACTCTGGCTACGCTTCCAAATTGGCGACGTTGCCAAACCGTCGCCAAGTGAGTGAGGTGCCATACATGTGAATACTAATTGTTTGGATACGTAGCCGGCAACGTGGCCATGGCGTCCCGGTGAGGGAGGGCACTTAAGCTGATACCGTCTCCATGCACCGGCAAAACAAAAATGCAAAAAAACCTTGAATCTAATATATTATAAAATTCTCGTGTCGCGGTGTTTGTGGTTAAACTCCTCCGAAACGACTCGACCGATTCTCATGAAATTTTGTGTGCATATTGGGTATGTCTGAGAATCGTACATCTATTTTTCATCCCCCTGAATGTTAAGGGTAGTCCATCCCTAATTTTTTTTTTTTAATTTTAGATTAAAATTTTATTCTTTATTTTCTTATGATACAGAATTGAAAAATACATACAACCCCTTTCCCCCCCTCTACGATCAACCCCTATTTTTTATTATAAATGATATACATGGCAAAACGACGTTTGCCGGATCAGCTAGTAAATATATATATATACTGTACACGATAGCATTACAGCTGCTATATTTTCAGAGGGGTAAAAATGAATCTTAGGGCAATTTATAACCATGGAGGACGTCCAGCGAATCCCTTAGCGGAAGACCGTTTTAGTGTCTAGGGTGCATTAATCCTTATGATGTTTAAATTTATCAGAAATCTAACAAATTATCAGATATTACTATTTTAGATTACTTCGGATGGAGATTCCATATTCAGTGTGAACTTATTCAATTACGATTGAAATATCTTTGTTTGTGGAATTAATATATTCCTATCGATTAATAAATATCAGTTTTTGTGTCCCCTGATCAGGCAAAAAAGGGGCGCGACAACCCTTGCTCTTGGGCTCAGATTTCTGTTATCGTGATTTTTTTCAAATCACCTAGTATTCGAATAAATCTTCGTTTGATACAGATTGGCCGTGTAGCCGTGTGGTGGTGAAAAATAATACTAAGTTTAATAATAATATAAGTCTCTTATTTTGATTATACATTTATATTTCAATCACCTCCTCAATACCTAGGTATCTTTTTTAGCAAAGACCTCTTTGAAATCCCGCCATTTCTGTCTGCACTTTGCCATTCTCTGCCATTTACCAACTGCTGTTTTCATAATCTGGTCATATTTTTGCGTACATTGGCCACTAGTTCAATAATTTGTTGCTCCATCTTTCTGTTCCTCTTGCCTGCGTGTTATCCACTAAAGTTTATTTTAGTTCATGGTGACATCTGCTGCTTAGTAATTATTCTTAATGATGTATTATTTTTTCTATTCTACACTTCCTTATCATACGCTTGATTGATTTATGAAAACTTATTATTATTTATAATTCACAACTAAAACAGTGCTTTTATTTTCAATTTAAAATATAGGATTAAGAGACAGTGAGACTTATTTGGCTATTGTACATTGTTTAGAATATCTTCTATATTCTATACACTTGCTCATTCAGGGAAGGAAACCAAGGAAACCTTATGTTTTAATCGAAATAACAGTCCATGTCTTGGAGGAGGCTGTCATCTCCAACTCCAAAGATATCGAAGGCGATCGTAAGATCACGAGCTGTTTTTTCTGTGACAGCCACAGGTCATCAATAATCACTGTTATAACTTTGAACGCAGGACAAATATCAAAGTTGCGGGTGGAAATACTCAAGCAACGGCGTGGCAAACTCCCTAAAGTTGTTTTGTTTCATCAAGGTATTGAACGCGCACAAGTACAGAGTTGCTATGGCTGCCATTCAAGCTGGCTCCGAATTGATGGAATATCCATCTCATCACCGGATCTAGCTCCCAGTGATTCTACCTAATTCCTTGGTCAGAGGTCAAATGCTATAAATTTTAACTACGCAATAGTGTACCGTGGTCCACGATTTTTTATGATAATTTTAGCTTAACAAGCAAGATATACAAAGTGTTTAAACGTAAAAGGTGACTATGAACATTGCGTCATTATCACATTTAATTGACCATCCCTAGTAACTTTAGCCTATAGTTGATAAAACCGTAAGAAGCGAAGAAGCGTAAAA